GGTATGGGTGTGGGTGTGGGTATGGGTGTGGGTGTGAGTGTGAGTATACTGGGATAGCATCAATATTAATATATCAGAATAAATCCTCAATAAAGAAATAAGTCCGCTAGAAAGAATAAATCCCGAAAAAATAAGTCCCGGTAGTCCCTCTCTTGTATAATAAATTATAAACTTTTAATAATAGAATATGGCAAGTTAAAAGAAGTATAATCAAATGTCGTCGTTGTTTATCTGAGTAGATGGATTTATCTCTATTGTAAACTTAATATCATCTCTTTACATCTAACCATATTTGACATCGTTTTTCAGGATTCATTGGAGATCCTTTTGGACATTTGAATGCTTTCGAAAATTCTGGCATATTCGATAAAGTACCAATAACACGATATTTTGGATGAGCATGTGTATCGGTAACTAAAGCTGCTTTAGCCATTTCAGGTGTTGTTTTTGTACACCATGTTTGTGCAAAACCAATAAAAAATAATTGTTCATCAGTTAAATTAAGACCAGGTAAAAGTTGTTGTTGATGATGTTTTAAATATGTAATCGATGGTAAATGATGACGTTTTAAATAACGTTTATAAGCTGCATATGCAATTCGTAAACCACCATTATCAGCAATCTGAAAATAAATAAATTCATATTTAAAGAAAAACTTTATTTGATTACTGACATTTTCATCAAGTGTTAACAATCCATTGATATGTTTATTACCAATACGATATTGAGTATATTGATCAATAAAACATTGAGCACGTTCATCAAAACTTCGAGCTGATCCTTTTTGCCACCAATTATTTAGATTTCCATAACCATCAAAATAACGACCACTACAGCATAAAAAAACAACTTGATGAATAATATATATTTTTAATTCATAGAAGTTCGACATAGGAAAACAACTTCAAGCCATATTCGAACCTCGCTTGGATGTAAAACTGGGTGCGTCCTGTAATTTCATATACGAATATTTGCTGTTTAGACAGGATTTACTTAAAGAAGCTATGAATGTAGATGATGAGCTAAGCAAAGTACTTCAATGGCAAAAAGAAATTAGTGTTCATATTTGAAACATGGTGTCATTCACAGATGAACCGAAAAACTATGAGAAGTAATTGAAACTATTCCTAATCAAACTTGATGGGAACAAAACAATAAAAGACAAAAACAAACTGAACATGCCTGGCATCGAATGCATGAATAAGTTCATCTGAAATAATAAATATAAGTGAAAATATCTTTAAATATAAAAAGTATACTTACGACCAATAATAGATGCAATCGATCCAAAATTAAGTGAAATAGGAATATTAGCATCGAAAAATCTAAATAAAAATAAAAAAATAATAAAAATTCAATAAGATTCTATACGGTGTTTGTAAAATGCCAGCTGGAAATACAATCATATTCTTCCATGGTGCATAATATGCATTGACATCAATAGGTGTCATTGTCCATTCTTCAATATCGGGTCGTTGGCCCTTCATTAATTATATATATATATATATATATATACTTGGTGAATAATCTTTCGATAGTAAAAAATATTTACAAGTTTTTTTAAATTTTGTTCTTTTTGAAATCTTCGTACTAACATTATATTAATAATAGGATCGTTAGTTGATGATAGATTTAAATCTTGATAAAATTTATCAATATTTCTTTCATCTTCAAGCCATTTTGGATATCCAAGTCTATCTATATTATTTAAAATTTATATAAATCAATATTGATTAATGTACTATACCAATAATCATTTGTGCTTTGATTTGTGCTTGTTGACGTGTTTCTAAATCCATCCATTGAATATTTGGTAATGTTTCAATAAATGTTAAACGAATTTCTTCAACAATATGTTTTATTTTTTCTTGACTTTTTGCATCAAATACTTTTGAAATAAATAGAGCACCTTAATCAAAAAACAAAACAGCTTGTTCAGCTAAAATGGACCATGCATTTGGACAAAAGTTGAACAGATGATTTCTCGAGCATAAGACAACGACTGAATTTCTTCATTCAAAAATTTTATGAAACACAATCTAAAAGGACTGTTGAAGTGTATAGGATAGAAATCTGAACCAGAGACCGAATCGAACCGAGTTTTACTGGTTCGAGTTTCGTTTGACTTGATCCATTTTCAGTCTCTGATCTGGACCGCCCCCTTCCACAAACTGTGATAGACGTTGTCAATATGCGATTTCAGATCGTATATCAATAACGGTTTGTTACAATGTATTAATTACTATCTTGTTGTGTTTCTGAAGGATTAAGTAAAAGAAGAATGAAGACGTATCTCCCAAGATGCATGGAATAAAGCAATCTCCCTGTGATTAGCAACAGCAGCTACATCGTGTTTCACATTTTAATCCCGCAAGAATTGCATTACCTGTAGCAAATCCAAATGCATCATCTGTTCTTTTAACACAAATTTCCCATAATTGTTTTTCTTCAATAATACCTTTTAAATATGTAATTAAAGGTCTTCGAAACTGATTAAAACTCTCTGGCATATAAGGTAATAATTCTTGAATAACTTGAAATGTAATATAATTAGCTAAAATATATTTTGGTGTTATTTCTATTAATTGTTTTAATTTTTCAAAATAATCTGGTGTTGATATAAGAAATGTTTGATTATAAAAAAATGTTTTATCTTTATGAAAAATTTTTTCTAAATAATTTTCAATATCAAACCATGATGAAAACCATAATTGAATTTGTTCAAATGTTCGTATATGATATAATTTTAATGGATTATTAAATTTTTTTATTTGAAATATATAAGCTAAACGTTTTTCAAATAGAAATATTTCATCAATTTGTTTTGATATTATATATTCAGATAAAAATGAATGAAGATATTTTATTAATTTTGTACCAAAATGATTAAATAAATAACGAATATTTTTATCATTATAACGAAATTTTTCATTAAATGATAAACCTGATTGTTCAAAATAAATACAATAATAATTATTATTTTTATCATCAATTGTAATACTTATACGAAAAAATGGATTTATTTTATGTTGATGTGTATAAATAAGACTTTTAACTAAATTAAAATTTTTTGTTGACCAATATTTAAATAATAAAATTGATTTTCCAACATGTTGAAGAATATTTCTAAGAGTTTTTCTTGTAAGTTTTTCATTATTTGATGTATTCATACATGTATGAAAATATGTTTTAAATTTTTTTATTGATATTGAATTTGTATTTGAATTATTTTGAAGAATTTTATATAGAATAATTAAATTATTCTTATAAATTTCTTTAAAATAACTTATTGACGTTTCACTTGGTGTTAAAAAATGATTATTTATCCATCCATCACATGCATATGTATAAAAATTTTCACATGGATTTTTATTTATATTTAAATTTTCTATAATACGATGTGATGTTGATATACATGGAAGTGATGAACATTGATGAAGAAAATTATTTGCGTGATATTGAGAACGAATAATAAATGGAAGAGAAAATATGAGAAGTAGAATAATTATAAATATAAGAAAAATAATACTAAATTGATTTTTTATATCATTATACCATAATGATTGTATTTTTGTTGTTGAATTTTTATTTTCAATTAATAATAATTTTTTTGATTGAATCCAAAGTTGATCAAATGTTGAATTAAGAAGTGATATACGAGCTTGTTTTAATGATTGTTCATAATCTTGAACTTTATTGTTTTGATAGTACATGGATGTACATTTTTTCCTATAGAATGTGTTGTCAAGAGAGATTATATTTTGCTTACATAAAAAAATTTCGTTTTTTTTAATATAACAACAGGAGAAGGAAGAGAATATCCATATAGTCAGTTTCTCCTTATAATATAAATTTTCATTTAAGAAAAAAAATAATGAAAGCAGAACGTATAGTAGAAGATGAAGTACCAGTCCTCGTTTTTTTTTTGCACTAACACATTCAAAGAGGAAAATCGTCTTGACTACTTCTTTTTCTTATAATAGCGAATAGAAGACATGCATAGAAAGAGAACCTGGTACTTAATTTTAATTACGATAAAAATAAAAGAATCATGTTGAATATCTAAAAGAAATAAATACTAATATTCAGGCAAAAATAATAATATCAGTGCATGGTAATATAAAAGTAATATATGAAATGAAACGAAATAATCGATCATTGATTAGAAATAGAAAAATATTTATGGTTTTCTTTATTTTTGCTTTGTAATAAAAAATTAAATGTATATACAAAACATGAAGTCAACGAAATATCATAGAAACACCAATATTGAAATCTCTTTTTCCTATAAGGTGATTCACAAGAATATTTTCACAATTTTCTCGAATGAACATACAGACTATTTTACGACAATGATCAATACTATCGGTGTACTGGCAGTAGATTGCCGATCATAATCAAAGTATCAAAATGTCACCGATTGCTTGTCGGTATACCGGTAGTCTTTGTCTACAGCTGAGCAAATACACAAACAATTTGTACTTTCATATACTCATATTTTCTATCAATAAGAGATGTATTCTCATCATCCCATGTATTGGATGTGAATGAAGAAAACATCACCAGTCACATCCATGCCCAATATACAGGATGATGAGAGTACATGTAGTTAAGTACCTACAACACATCACTCTGTATGGCAGTATTTATCAGCAGACAATGTGTAGAGATACATTTTGCTTAGAATCCATGGTGTATGAACGTTGTTAAAAGAATTCATGACTGCAATGCGACGGCCAACTCTGATGAGAGAAATTCTCAAATTCAAAATTTATACGGGTAATGTGGGTACTAGAATACATTTTGTACTTGTATTTTCGCAACCCTTCGTTTGTCACTATTGGCACCTAACGATCTACCTGTAGTTTGAATCACATGAGAATCATATCTAATCTCAGTATTTTTTTGATTAGATTGAATTAAAAAAGATAATTTTTATATTCCAAAAATTTTTATTAATTAATAACTACTAAAAACAAAAGGAAAAGAATTAATGTTAATTATTGTTGGAGAAATTCTCGATTATAATTTGATCCATGAAGTATTTCAAGAAGTGATTGAATATATTGAATAGCACCATCGACTGTATCCATTCGTGACATTTTTTGACGTTTTCGACCTTTTTTAAATGGAAGTACATTTTGTAAATCTTCATAAGCTTGATTAATAATTTCCATTCGATGACGTTCCCGTCGATTGGCTTCTTCTCGTTGTAAACGTGATAAAATACGACGTTTCTTACGATGATAATTCTTATCATAATCTCCCGTTGATTCTTGATTAATATTAATGTGATTATCTTCTATCAATCCATTATGATAATCATTGATTACATTTAATTGTTCAATCTGAAATAGAATGAAAAAAAAAATAAAATTTTTTTAACACAATATCTTGTCTTACTCTAACAGGTGGTAACGAACTTGATAAATACGGTTCAATTAAACTTGTATCGGTACTTGCACTTTCATAACCTGATGATGAATTTAAATTTATTCCAATAGAAGAAGAATTATATTGATAAAATGAATATGGCCAAATCGAGAAATTCATCGTTATTTGTTTTTTTTCTCGTACTGAAAATATTTTTTTCAGAAAATTTTATATATATCTTTGTGAAAGAAAACTGATCAATTTTCCACTCATATTACATCATCAACTCGTCATCAATAATATGTTCATTAATTAGCAATGACGAACAATTAATCATTTGTCCATATATATATCAACAGTTTGTAATTTATGGACAAATATAACAATGAGCGTATCGGTGTCATCATGAAAATATTTAGTTCCACTAGTGTATCATTCAAAATTGTGAACTGTCGACTCGAATGATTGTATCGAAATATTTATAAACAAATAAATTTCTCAAAGTTTGAACATTCTTTTCTTTTATTAGTAAAGATAACGAGACACACAAATCTAATTTAAGAATTTATATACAAAAAAAAAAAAAAAAAACAAAAGCAAACGATCAAGTTTTACTGTTCATATTAAAAAGCGATTAGTTTGTTTTTAATATTAAACAATCCAAACAAGTAATTGATCAATTGATGAACGCCTTCGATGAATTTTTGTACTTGTTTGATATTGATAATTACATAAGGTTGTTGAATAATGATGAGATATATGTTTTTTTTCATTTTTATTATCATTTGATGTTTGAAATGCACGTTCTCGACAAAGTTCACATGCAATAAATGGTCTTGATCGTCGTTGTTTAGCAAATAAAGGTGTTGAACAACGTGGACTTTGTGGAGAATTTCTTGGAAATGAAGATGATGATGATGTTGATATTGGATGAACTAAAATAATAAATGAATATCGAACAGAATTTCAATTTAATCGTCTAGTCATTGAATGTTTTCATTTGTCCTTTTGTTTTTCTTAATATCTCCTAGACATAAACAATAAATTTGAAGTAAACGAAGGGCGTATTGTTGTATTATATCTTCAAAGAAAAACAATCCGACAAATTAATACTTAGACAATCATTCGGTAGTTTGTAAACAATATTAAAACAAACCGATTGAAATTATAGTTTTTCTTCTAGTGGATTAATCATCTGATCATGTCTGTAGGTCAGGTGAAGATCTTGTCGTAACGATTCTAGAACAGGTTTCAACTTCTTTTTAAGCGAAAACCAACTGTTGGTAGAGAAAGTAGTTGAACACCATTTAGTCTTCGTCTCATTTTATCCAAACAAATGCTTCTCTCAGCTTTTCATTCTAAGGCGACGATTGTTGCTTAGTAGAATGATGCTGTGATTGTAGACACTTCAATATAGGATATCCTGTCGGTTTTTTCATATTTTATTGATTTACATTTAACATAAAATTGTTATATGACGACTCATCTTTTAGTTAATATATTCTAACGAATGATTGACAATCAAAAGAAATATTTCATAATCAATTAGATATTCAATGAAAATTTATGCATGCCTACCTGCTGTTGTTAAAGGCGTTTTAGGTGTCGATGAACGAAATAACATACCACTAGTTATACATTTTGATGATTGAGGATAAATTGGTTTCATAGATTTTATTAATGGTTGTAAAGAAATATTTGTTCGTTTTTTTGTTTTTCCTGATGATGATGAATATAAAATTGATGAAAGTGTATTCATTCTAAAAATAATTTAAATTCAATGATAGACGAAAATGAAAACAACATAAAAAATTTTATCGGGCGTTAACCGATATAATTATACTATACTTATACGTAATCAAAGTGAAAATTTACTGTCATTATCGATGAAGCATCATAGAAATAAAAATTTATTATCAGGTGGTAATATCGTCTATATTCGCTCTTTCTTTCAAGGGAGACGTAATCGTAAGTGTTAATAACTTTTCTTGCGGTTATGAATGACTATTTGAAGTTACGTAGCATAAAAAACGAATGAGTGCTCGTGTGCTCACACCTATTCAATTTGAACGAATTTAGGTGAGTAAGCCGCATAAAATAGATCAACAAAGTATAATAAAAAAAATAACACAGACAACTTCAACATGAAACAGACATCTCATTTTAATTGAGTCCGACAATATGACTGCAAAAGGTGCTGAAAAAATTAACGCTTTATATAGACAACTTTTCAAATTATTTAAAAAAGAATAACCATTCACTAAAAAAAAGTTATTTTATTTCATTAGAAAATTTTAAATAAGATAAAAATCAAGTTAAAAAAAAAGGCAATATTCTATTACTGTACATCGAAACGATATTAATACATGAAAATATATATATATATATGTTCTCAATACTGAAAAAAGAGTGAATAAAGCTTCGAGTTAGTGGCATAAACAAGAGTGAGCTAGGTCGAGTGGCACCCTATCACCAGAAGAACGAAAAACGTAATAATTATTATGATTAACATTATATTTCATAGATTTCCTTCAAGATCGAAGGGCACTATCAACCGATGGATCTAGGATTTTACTAAGAGTACTACCTTACCATCACACTCACGATCTCCTGGCTACGCCATTACTTCAAATAACTTTTCATTCGATTCAAAAAAACTCACCTGCCACTTAGGCTGATTAATATCGTTGAGAGTCAAAGGGCGGATGCGTTGATGTGAAAACAAATTGAATTACGACTTAACTGAATGAACACACCACTACTAGCGCGCAAGAGAAAGAAGAGAGAAAGAAAATAAAAATCATCTATTGGATATGAACATTGAGTTTTTCTCGTCAATTGATTGGATAGATGACTAACTGAAAACGATGAGTGAAATAAGTCAATATTAAGGTGTCAATCAATTGTGACAATTTGATAGATTATTCATGCAGTATAGAAACACCTTTCCATAATATGATATAATGAAAACAAAGAACTTTTTGTTTTTTTCATGAGAATAAATATTTAATTGTTGATGCCCTATGAACATGTAAAAATATTTCATTAGAATACATGAAATGATTAAATACTTATTCTTGGTTAATCAAACAAGCGTAACGATTAATTGTCATTCGTTCATCTATGTTAACTTGAACAAAATGATTAAAATTTATCAAACCAGATGATACATTGAAATATAAGAAGAAATAAAAGAAAAATGCAAAACGTTATTTTTTTTTTTTTGTTCGCGAAAGATTATTCTCATGTGGTGTTTAAAAGAAAATACATATACAAAAAAGAAAAATTTTGTTAAGTACAATTTGTTTTTCTTGTCGGCAGATTATTGACAATGTTTATTTAGTTGAGACTAGTTGGTTTCATATGTTGCAAAAAAATAAAAAGAAATTAGCAGTTAGTATTTGATTGAACTATCTTATTTCTTAAAATCGTTGCGGGAATGAATGCACGTGTACATTAAAACGGATATATACTTGTTATTTTAGATGATGAATCGGCATTTAATTGAGTGAAATTAAGAAAAATAAATAAATTATCATTAGATCTTTTCCTCTCTTTTTTTTTTTTTTACTTCTATATTGAATATAATCATGAAGATTGTGATGATATTGATTGCGTAGTTTTTTGAATCTGATTTGACAGGCAATTATCAATTTTACTGCTTATTTTTCATCAAACGCAATTTGTTTTTACAAGTTGATTTTGATCATATAGTGTAAGGGCTCTTATATTTAACTCCTATGTGTTAAATCTTTTGTTGTTATTCTCGGCAATGGTCTGTTAATATGGCATTGATTTTGGACAAAAAATTATCCCAACATATATTTTCAAATCGAATATATATTTCGACTAGAACGGTCATATGACTATATGTTTAGTTATATTTCATTACACATCATTTGATTGTAAACGAGGAACAGATGTAAATATCATAGGAAAAATAGAAGACAATGTTAGTATTCTTTTTCATTTCCTATCCTGTGGTGTTAGTTGACCTTTTTTTTTTTTGTTATTTATTAGGGAAGTTAGGCATTTCGTACAAATAATGTAAAAGAATATTCATGCCGAGCTGAACGAGAGCCAATTGTTCATATTCAAACTGAGAAAAATGAGTGAAATGTAGGTGGTAGTTGTATGTGTAGACATGAGAATAGAGATCGATGTGATTCGGAAATGATGGGTAATTATAAAGATATTCTTGATTTTATAGAGATATGAAGAATGAACATTTTTGTTTGTTTTTAGATATGACCTTGGTAGAAAGATCTCTATTGAACGAACGTACAATAATTTCGATTTTACAGAATGTCATTTTTAGCATGTAATTATTTATTTCATATCGATACACATTATGAATCATCATATTATTAATATGAATATTTGAAAATTATTCAATACCCAATGATAACTGTTGCGAGAAGATACATACAGTTGATAGAATAGGATCTTGAAGAAAATAAGCAGTGGGCCAAAAGTTTCTGACTATTCTTCGCGTAGTTCAATGCATTGAAATAGAATGGGAATTAGTGTAATAGAATTCGAATTTTGTGCTCTTTCAAAATCTATACTTAGAATTTTTCTTCGACTTTTGACTATCGAGCTATAAATCTTTATAGGATTCAAAAAATTTCTCTGAAAACATATCTGTTTCCTGTAAACATTATAATCCATTAAAAAATGATAGGGCTGAAACAGAGAGTCATTCTGAGCTGAACAGACGAAAATCGGAACAATAACCGTTTTTCTCGCGATAGACTTTATAAAAGCTTTTGCTGAACCTCAACAGTTTGTAAAAGATTTACTACTTTGCAGAAAATTATTTTCTGGATCTTTCAATATATTTAATAAAATTTTGTAGAATACCTCGAACAAGTTCTATGTAAAGTTTTTCCTGGAAAAATAATTTTTGTCTTTGCAAGATTCACTTATAGCACAATAGTCAAAAGTTTCAGAAAAATTCTAAACATATTCTGAAAGAACACAAAGTTCTGATTGCAATAAACTACTTCTTACTATTTTTCAACTTATCGAGCGTGATGCATAAGTGTTCGACTTACAAAAAAATTTTTCGATCTCGAAGTGGATCTGCAGTCTAAATGTTTTGTAGATAGAGAAAACATTTTGAATGTTTTTTTTTTGTGTTCTTCATTTGAAAGTTCTATATATTAACATCGGACGAAGATGCATAGTGAGTGCACTGTTTGTTCAATGGTGATATAAAAAGTCACAAGTTGTATACATAAGAAAAGAACGACAAACAAGAAAAAATTCTATCACATAATCGTGTTGTCTCGACTGCGAAATGTCAAGGACATCCTTTGTTTCCAACTACGAAATGAAAGGAAGAAAAAAAGAATTGAAAAATTGATTCTCTCAAGAAAAGGAGACAAGTAGTTGATATCAGAGTTCAATTCGGGTTACAAAGAATCTGACCCATGTCGGATACTGAGGATGGCGTCTCTCCAAAAGCCGGTTTGGCATCTCTAGAACTTGTGGTTGTTGTACCATGTGGAGTGCCTATATTTTCACAAACGATTCTTCGCTCATCCAGAGATTCAAACCGCCCCTCCAGAAGATAAAAGTTATATAAAATACTATTGAAAACATATAGAATAATCTTCTCAGTCCTCTGTTATATAATTCCAGTTACCTTATTAATGCCACTGTTTATAATAAATACATTGATATCAAATTGATAAGAATTATTACTTGTCAAATGTCATACTATATTTTTATTAATAAAGAACATCATAAAATTTCGATTTCTACTAACAATATTGAGATTTTCGGATCATCATGCTTTAGTTATAATTAATCGTAAAAATCATTTCTATCAAGCTTCTATCTTCATTCTTTTTTTTTTTGTTTTTCTTGAATAATATCATCCTGTTTATCTATACATTTGTAAATTTTAAAAAAAAACAAAAAAAGAACAAATAACTTAAAATTTTATACAATCGTTCACACAAATAAAAAGAAAAGCTTGTTTTTCAGCTATGTATCATCATAGATAAATCAATAAAAAAAAAAAAAAGAAACGAAAAAGCTAAAAAATACAAGGTGGTCCACGATCAGGACTTTGATCTTTACATCCTGTATTTCTTAAATAAGGTTCAGATACATCAGACATATCAGCTGATCTCGATGAACGACTACGACGTTTTTGTTCCTAGAAAATAAAATTCATTTAGACATATTCAAAAGAAAATTTTCAAGTTGAATTTACTTGTGTAAAAAGTTGATTATCACGATCAACTAATGTTTGTAAATATGATATAATCGGTAATTGTGTTACATTTGTTTCTTTTTCTAACAAAATATAAAACAAACAAAAAAAAAAACATAATAATAAGATTTTGTAAATAAATAAAATTAACCTTGAATTTCTTTTTCAAATATTAAAACATATGGTGTAGCTGATTGAAAACGTTGAAAATGTGCATAAACATTTTCAAATGTTAAATGTTCAACATGTGTATCATTAAAAAGCCACCAACCAATATAATTTGTATTTGTTTTATCAATTAAATCATCATTATTAAAATTAACAAATGCATAATAATGTCCACTATTCATTGATAAACCATGATGAACAACAATAGCTTTTAATCGATATGATATAAATGTTTCATTAACAGTTAATAATTTAATTAATTCTGGTAATGTTGTACGATCAAGACATTTTTCATATTTACCTGTAAGACGATTATGTACAAAACGTTTTAATAATAAAACAAGATAATTTGGATGTGATGTTAAAAACATTCGACGTAAACCATCTTGTTTTATTTGACATTTATCACATGCAAGTTGATTTTCATTATTTAATGATTCCCATGCAAATGCATGATCGATAAGTGATTGTAAACTAAAACATTTTTGTTCTTCATTATTAGTTGAAGATTGATCATTAAAACCAATTGATAAATCATAGAATAAATCTTGAGATTTTGTTATTGATAAACAAGTTAAACATTTACTTAGATGAACACAAGTACCCATTAGATGTTGTTTAACAAAATCAATATTTGATCTTAAGAGAAATTAAATAGGAATGATTAATTATAGAACTATCATATAAATAAAATAAAGTTCAAAATTTATTGCTGTAAGTTTTCAAGTTTCTTTTCATATAGTATCGATCATCGATATTTGCACTAAACATAATCCTGTATGTAGAGACTGTTGAGTCGAAAACTTTTGGATCGAAATCTTATCCTTAGTGAAATTTTTCATTCCGCATTTGGTATGTACATACCCTATACATGTCTCAGGTAATTTTGACAGCAACCTCATAAATATCAAGTTATAAATGGCTCTTGCTTTTAGAGTAGCACTTGTCAGATGCCGACCGGATCCTACTCAATAGGCTGTGCTTGTACATTTCTAGAAATGACACTTTTTGTATAAACTTCAAGAGTACTTCTCCTATCTTTTTCGGAGAGCGGCTTATTAGAAAAAATTGAAATTTTCAAGGCAGATAGGTCTTGTAGAGTAGAGCAAAAATTACAATGGTCCCAATTTTCGTCCATGCTTCTCCGAGATACTATGTTTGATCGAGCTGAAAAATTATTTTACAGATATGAGACAATGTTTGGGATGGATATCTTTTTCTTATTTGTTCTTCCAAAAGAAGAGCCATTATGTGTTAAGTCAAATGATTGATCAATCAGTTGATTAACTTTCAAATAACATTCTTCAATAATAAATGCAAAATGAATTTTCTCATTAAAACATTAGTATTTCTCTGTTCAGAGCATTCTAATAAAATATAGCGAACTAGAATTATACACCTTACATCGAATAATAGAAACAAGTTCTAAAAAAAAATAAAACTACACACTCATTTTGTATTGTTTTTTTAGCTTCTTCATGAAGTGAATCAAGTAAATGTCTGAGAAATTCTTGACAATCTTGTTGTTGATTACGTTCAAAATAAGATGGTTTAGCTTGAAGCCAAAATTTTTCAGGTCGATAATATGGTCTCTAAAAACAAAATACAATTAAAAGTTGAACTTTTTTTTCTTTTCTTTTTTCATACTTGTGAAAGTGCCAAAAAAGCAAATAAATTTTGTAATGATTTTAATAATTCATTATTTGATGATAATATATCACAATTCAATACACACATTCGAAATCTATAGATTCAAATACACAAATGACAAAGAAATAAAAAAAAAAATCATTACTTTGTACAAGCATATAAAGCTTGCATAATAGCATTCAAATAACATGTATTTCCAATATTAACTAAACCAACTTTATCATGTAAACGAATAGTTATTTCATTTGAATTATTTTCTATTGATGATGATTTACATTTCATTAATTGAATATTTTTTGCATAAGCTGAATTTAATTTCGGAAGGCTCTGAATTCAGAAAAAAAAATTTGTTTTAATCGAGAAGAAAACAGGAAACTTCAAAGGAGTTCCATGAACCTTAAGACAAGGGTTACCAAACCTCCTGATTTTTTCCACGAGCTGTTTTCTAAGATTTTCTACTAGTTTTTGTTTTTTCTTCATTTTGACTTGTAGTAACATGTCTAACGAGCAAGAAAAGCGATCTAACATCATAATGTAATGTCAGATTTTGACAAAGAACAGAAGAAACATCCGTTAATCAGAACACGACCAGTTGTAAGCTTATCTTCTTAACAGTGAAAAGGTGCCTCACTTACAAAAATTAGTTCAATTTGCTTTTTCTATATTGATCTCAAACATCTTTTGTGAATCTATTTTTTAGCCACATGAAATTTTTGTGAAATTATAATCGAAACAAAATATTTTACTTGAAGTAAATTATTGAATAAATCATGATCAAGTAAATAATCTTCATTATTTAATAAACTTTTAAGTCCATAACGAACACTTTCAACAAGATTATTCATTTCAATATTATCATTAAGAAAATTTGGATTATTAATAACAAGTTGAAGTATTTCACTTTGTAAACTACTTGCAAACTAGAATAAGAAATATAAAGAAAATTCTGTAAAATTAATCGTTTTTTTTTTGTTTTTGACGTACAGTTTGTAAATGAAATGGTTGATTAACAAATATCCAACATAGTGCTGGAACAACATTTTGATAACATGATGGATTACCAATCATTGAAATAAGCTAAAATAAACGAAAATTTTTGTTTTTTAAATAAAATTCTAAAAGTTGAAATGATAATTTACATCTGAAATAATTGATGATGATGCTGAATGTGCAACAAGCATTTCACGTTCACGTTTAAATAATAATTTCCAAATTGAAACAAGCCATTGTGATGGTTTTGTTGTTGAACATGGCCAACAAAAAACACGAGCTAAACGATTTAGACATAATACTAAACGATCATCATCAATAGTCTAAAGAACAAATTTTAAAAATTTTAAAAGAAAAAAAAAAAGAATGTCAAATTTACTAAAATAAATGAATCAAGTAAATTTTCATTTGGACATTCTTGTAATAAATCAATAATATTAGCTAATGCTGTTGATGGTTCATTTGTTGTTGTTGAATCAGCTAAACATGTTAATAAACCACTTGTTACACCATTAACAATATCATTTAATAAATCATTAGATTGTTTATGATTATTATTATTATCATAACATAATTCTTGAATTGTTGATGATAATTGTTTACAAAATAATTCAACTTGTTCAATTGAATAATCTAATGTACGTAAACGAAATAAAACTAATTCAACTAATTTTATATAAAATATTGTTCGTTGTGCATTTGTTAATTGATGATTTTTAGTTATTAAATATAATATAAAACGTAATGCTTCATTATTTAATTCATGTCTTTCAAAAACAGCACGTTCTAAAAATGGTCGACCAATTTCAATTGGTAAACAATCACTTAATAATTGGACAAATGATATAGATAAATCAATATGTGAATCATTTATTAAATGTTCAGCAATTAAACAAATACATTCAGGATTATGACAACATTGTAGACAAATACGACAAAAAATTAATGTATCATTATCAATTTTTGTTAATGTTATTTCACGAATATAATTTATAATATAATAACATGTTCGATCAATTATTGGAATTGTTGCTGAACAAGGAGTTTGTAGATATGTTGATCGAATACGTTCCAATAATTGTTGTTTTACTGTTAATGGATGAGTACTTTTTAGAATTCCACAAATTATTTGATTCATTGTTTGAAAATGATATTACAAAATAAGAAAATTATTACGAAGAAAACGCTAATAGAGATTATACAACAGCTGATTGATTTAAGACAAGGATTTGCTAGCTACAATATCCATTTAATATAGAACAGGTAGAGGGCGCTATAAGAAAGAGTAACTAGAATGAAAAATTTAAACGAAGAGAAAAATAATTTTCATTTTTGTAATCAAGATTTCTTAATAAATATAGTATATGATATAGAGGACATAATCAGACAAGGAATAATATACTCTGATGTATTTGTTTTTAACTTGCCATCTGATGTTTTTCTCAATGACTTTTGTATGTAATTGATTATGCTGGAAATAAAAAAAAATTGTTTTTCTTTAATAAACCACTAGCAGACATCTAGACAGGCCTTAGGTTCGTAGAACTGGCCAGACAAAAGATATATTATGATGTATGACACTTTTCACTAGTGACATAACCAGACGGGGTTTCAGCCCTATCCCCTAGAAAGGAGGCTTGAGTCTTCGCTAGAAGCATTTTCAGAGGGTCTTCACCCCCGTTATCGACATGATCAGGACACTGAGCTCTCCATACAACTTTCTTCCTAGTTAAGCCACTAGTCTTCACGTTGTCTATGCCTCATATTCGTTTTTCTATTACTTGTCGTGGGTATTGCGGTTTATACAAGTTTTGTTATATATTAATATTACGATGATAACTGAATGAAAACAGAAGACTGTTTTTATTAGAAGATAAGAATCCCATATATGTTGAACTATATAAAATATTTATTAATTTAATAAACAATGCATTTCTCGAGAGTAGATAGAAAAGAAAACATCAGAATTGTGAAAAAACATGTTTTTGAGAAAAATTCTCGATTGACGGATAAAATCGAAAGTTCGTTTTTGTTTTTGAGGTCCTAATTTTAACCCAATAGAACGTCCTCGGGTAGATTGGAAAAAATGGTACAGGTTTGGTCTTCATATTTTCATCTAGCGTTTAAATGAGTATTTTCTCAGTTTTCGTTCTCATGATCATCACGACACAAAATGATAATTTTCGATGCGCACAACGAGAAGGCCACGAAAATCTATATAAATGCTTTGCTTCGTACCACATTAAGTATCAGAAGAATAAAGTAAAAAATTAATTGACTTATTGAAATAAATATTAAAATCTCAAATAAAAAAAAACAATTTTACAATTGTATGAATTTATATGTAATATTAAGAATTTTTCACAATGATTATAGTTTAATCAGTGAACTATCGAATATATATAACTCTAAATGCCATTGAAAGTTATGTTTATTATATATAAATTAATACACTGTTTATGGCTATGATATGTAGAAATTTGATCAAAATCATTAACAACATTTCAAGGAGCATAATCGAAATCAAAACTAATCGTTTTTATATTTATTGAGAATTGACGTTCATCATGAAAATCTTCAACTTGTACAAGATCACCTAAATTCTGTATAGTTCTTTGTTCTAATGTTTTTAGTCTTTTATACATTGTGCGTGTCCAAAGATATTATTCACATAAGAACACAGTTATCTTTTTTTTTTATACATCCTTTAGTCAATGAGAAAGTGACATATATAGGATATAACAATATCTTAGTATTCTATGAAAAAATTTTCTACAAGTTAGTACATTGAACATTTAAAAGCATTTTGTAGTAAAGTAATAAAAACCTATAAACTACTCTAAGTTACTGAAGTATCTGAAGGTTCGTGTAATATAATGGTAACAGGGTATTTTGAGTTCAGTACATGCACTATCTTGAGGATGTGGGTGTGGTTGTGGATGAAGCAAAGAACTACACATATATCTACACCCACACTCTATCACATATTTATCTTTGAGAAACCTAACAGATATATAAACGACAATAACATGCAGTATTTTATTTTGCGTGAGGGTCGAAGACGTGGCACCTCTTCGAAAACTGGGTTGACCATCCCGAAGTTTGCGATTATTGTACCATGTACTATGTGTCTGTGCTTCCAAAAATAAGTGTTCGTCCCACTGGAAGAGAAAATCTAGATGAAATATTGATAACATGATACATCTTCTTGGGGATTTGTAAAAACCTGAGTGCAAAAAGGGGAAATGAATATTTTTTGAAGTCACTACTATTAATCGATTAATAATGATCCAAAACATCGGCCAGACCGGAATAGTTCAAAAATTCTCGATCGATTACAAATCTGCGATGATGACAAATGTATTTCGATCTATAGTGCTTTCTCTATTGATTTAATATAAATGATTTCGAGTCAATAATACCATGTTGACTTGCTCAAGCAAGTCTTACTTCATCTACTTTTCTTTTAATTTCAAGTCAGGGCTAATGGTATCGATTTTCAGCTTAAAATAGATCAATAAGACAAAGGTCGCTTTCAACACATTATTATTAAGTCGTTTTGTATATTGAGTCCTTGATACTACATTTATCTTTCTTTCTCAAATTTCAAATTATACAGTTTTTGTTTTATTATCAATATTTAATTGTTTAATTGAAGAAAAATTTTAAGTTAAATTAAAGAAATTATACCAAAATATTTATGCAACAAAAATGAGAACGAAGATTTAAAATACAAGTAACAACTACTGAATTACATTAAAAATTATTCTAGCATCAGTAAATTCAATTAAATCTCATCATGAACTCTGAAACAAAACAAAAAAAGCAAAAATTTATAATATAAAAAAAGAAAATGAAACATACGATATGAATGTCTAGTCGAAAGTATTTAGCTACTATAGCAATAAAAAACAATTAGATAAATTATTGAAATGACTAGTTAACGAACGTTCTAATGAAAGCTGAGAAAGAAAATGTTCTTTTTTTATAGTTTATTTTATTATAACACAGCTCATGAGTATGTATTCATGGAGAATGAGCTTCGTTTTTATATCTATATTAAAGACGTTTTATCCATGATAAGACGAAGTATTTTATAGATCTCTTTATGTATATTCTTAGTTAGATTTTGAAATTCAATGATGAGTAAGATTAATTGAAATCCATCAAAACTTCGAATACTTCATAAGAGCAAATCTATTGAACAAAATACTTTCAGCTGTGCGGTCTAGTATTGATCGTTTGAAACTACTTTGCAATTTAGTTATCAAGTAATTCATCAATTGTTATCTAATGATACCATCGAAGTAATTTTTGTTTAATAAGTATTGTTAGATAAATTTATTTTAACGAAATCATTTATCATCTACAACAACATCTGTCATAGAAATATATACACATTCTTAATGCAAAGACAATCATAATCACTTATTAATTTTTGAACTCTTCAAAAATTTTGAGTTCTCAAAACCACTTTAACTTTCGAATAGTCAAGTGAAATTTATTCTTATTTTGTTTTCAATATTTTTTCATCATTTATTTTTATATTTTCAAATAAGTTTATCAAGTAGTTTATTGATTGATACAAAAATCTTCTGTTTCAGACAACAAAACTTTGTTTATAAGCCACGATATATGATTGAGACTCAGAGTTTAATAAATCTTAACTATATAAAACTAATAGTATGTTTTATGCAAGATATATTCATAATGTGACGTCATCTGCACAAAATAACTTCCATCAAACACAATTTAAAATTAGTCCAGGCTAATATTCATAGCATATAAAATAAAAACTAAACTAAATATATAATAAATTCACTTTGTCCTTAATTGTAAAGTATTATGCACGTTCTAAACTCGCGTGACATATTTCTCGTAGAAAATCTGACGTGATATATTAGCACTATTTTTTTTCTTTTTCTCATGAATGAGAAGTTTTCTAATACTCATATTTTCAATGATGGTTGATTATGATGAATCAATAAAATGATCATAAAATCATTTCAAACTGCAATACCATAAGAGGGTTACTAATTAAGTAAAATTTAGTGTATCAATAAAATTTTTAAGTTTTATTTCATCATTTTAATAAACAAGACACAACACAATATTCTCTTCTTTTTATTAAAGAGTACATTTTCCATTCACTGGCGTTGATTCAACAGTGAAGCAATTGCTTTTAGATGGATTATTTAATCTCGGGCTTATTTTTAATCTCGCATGACAGATAATCGAACAATGACTCAACATCTAAGATTCAGAAAAAATAAAATCGTGATAAAAATGTCAATCAGTCTTATATTCTAACAGTGTCGACTGTTTTCTTTAATTTTGCTAATTTCAAAAATTTAAACGATAAAATTTGAAAACAAGTTAACATATTAAACTTTTTCATATAAGAATATAATGGTACAATTAAATTGTAATTCATTCATATATATTTCAAAAAGGAATGTAGTTTTATCGAAAATTACAAGGTCAAATTTAGTTTATCTGATCGATAATTGTAAGTCAATATGTTCGAATTTTATGTTGTACAAAAAAAAAAAGAAATATTTATGAGTATCGAGAACTTGAAAAAGTTTTTGAAATATAAAAAAGACAACATTTTGATAAGTCCAAATACTAACTACTAGAACCTCTGTAAATGTTACTCATTTATAATTAATGAACAAATGTCAATTCTATAAATTCATCAGATAGCAGTTCTTAGCTTGACATCTTGAAATATTTATCGATTAGCCACTTGAGTTGTTTTTATTTTCATTATGCATGAGTAATCATTCTCAAGAGTAATTCATTAAAGTTCAATTTGTCAAGTATTTTTAGAAGACATCAAACGGTATTCAAAAATAATTAAATTTATATATTTAAACTTGAACAAGACATATATTTTCATTAAAATTATGTCAAAATTGTCATATACAATCAAGAATATATCAAAGATTTTTAAAAATGTAATAAATAGCTGGTAAAAAAAATTTCCATTAATAGCAAGTTTATATCCTTCTAATTAATTTGAAGATATTTTTTTTAATAATCGTATATAACTAGTAATAAATTATTGATTGACCTTGAATTTATAAAACAAATAAATTTATTTTCATAAACATTTTTACTCATATTGATCTATTATTTGAACAAATTAATTTACGTGCTGACTACCTTTTTTGTCATGTATGTGTACATGATGAAAATATCTGAACTTAAGAAACATGATAAACATTCATTGTGTCAATCATTCTTACGTGCGTATTTGATGTTGATACAACAGAGAAATAGTTGTCGCAGAGAGCATATGTTGTCTATGTTGTCTTCTTTTCCATTTGAATTATTGTACAAAAAAAAAAAACATTTTTATAATAATTATTTATAGAAATTACGACAATACATATCTACACATTATGAATCAACTTAGAATTTTTCCCTTGATTAGTCATTTACACCTCGAGATATGCCCATACATACATACATTGAAAAAAAGAAAAAAATAGCCTAGAAATATGATTTCTAACTTAGATAAAAAAAAAAAGAAATGACCATATGGTTTCTTAGTCTCTTAAGGCAAAATAGCTTCTAATCATTTGAAATTATTCGCTCATTAATTCGAAAGTTCTTATCAATAGAATATTAAGATACATAACAATGTTCTTTTTTTTTTCATAATGAAATATCAAAAAAAAAACTGATTTAGACTTGTATTTAACGACAGCTATTGTCGTCATATTGTCATCTTTACTATCAATAATCGTCCTTGACTAGAATAATATTATAACGATCAGAAAGATGTTAATGATTCGTATTCTTCTCGAGTATCATTTCATGATAGTCAATCATCTCTAAATATTATTTTATCTTTGAATATTAATAATATTTGTTGTATTTATTTTTTTCTTCAATAATACTTTTAAATATGTCGATAGGGTATAGACAAGCACATATACATGGATATTTATTGTTTGTCTTGTCTTGGTCTATATAGCTTCAAGCGTAACATATTCTTTTTTTATTTGTTCAAACTACTAAAGTCGTACGGTTCGTTGATCGATGAGACTAACTACTCAATAATAAACATTGCTATTGACCTTTTCTCTTTCATTTTTCGTTTTTTCTTTCTATTTCAAATTTATATTAAGATTAGTTAGGAGTGATATGTTGTTTTTCGAATTGATGATATGTCGCGACATAATATTTCACCTTTTTATATATGACGCGTCATGTCGCCAACATAAAAAAAAAAAATCTCCGAATATGTATGTATGAGTGATGATGATTTATAAAATAATCAACACCAAGCAAAGTCAACTTGTCCCTGTAGTACGATGAGCGCAAACGCACAAGAACACATATATATATATATATATATATATCTACATACATATATATCTACTCCTTCTACTACATGCGAGCGCTGTCGGGGTCAACGATCTCTTTTAACTTGCGTCCTTCTTCTCTCTTCATGGGATGAATTGGCAATGTGTGTGTGTGTCTGCACATCTCATTTCTTTTTCTTGACATCGTTGGGTCGGCTACTCACTGCTCATTGTTTACACACAATCTACTCTTCATCTTTCTTGTCTTATAGATGTTAATGACCGGCACAACAGAAACGACGATTAAACATGATCGTCTTCTTCATCTACGTCGATTCCTTGAACAAATAGAACTCGAAGAATATTACACATTGATTGTCGAAAAGCTCAAGGTAAGAGATAAAGAAGAAAAAAAAAAAAGGAGTGTAAAAGAGAAAAAGAGAGACTATTAAAATCAATTATGAGTATTTCTTTACAAACTTTTTTTTTGTCAATAAAAAAAAAAAAACTAAATGAAATGTAAAGAAAGTTATGGCACATATTCTTTTTGATACCATGTCTAATTGGATGAAATGTCAAGATCAGAATAAAGATATTTATGCTGTTCGAAAGGTAACCAATCATTAATAAATTCCACATACATACATATATATATACCATGCTTTTTATTAAAGTTAGTGACTAATTCAGTGAGTAATTGTCAAGTTCATCCGAAAGCTAATCTAGTCTCTTTCTATTATATGTAGATTTTTCCCTCGTGTTCAATCAGAAGCTCTATATCTATCATGTTGTTTATAATAAGAATTTACTTATAGAAAGGGATAATTCACTTGCACATGTCCTATTCACATAATGTCGATTATTAATGGATAAAGACTAAATTGCAGACTTCCCTTTTTCATCTGCATTCAATACACATAAAACTTTGACCTTGGTAGTCTTGAAAATTGAGCTTGCTTCTCTTTTCTTTATTCTTTATTTGAGTTTATGCGTGTGTATTCTCATCTCAAATATGCATACTCACACACGCACATGAATTTTGACTAACTAGAAAGAAGACTAGCTGCCACACATACATACATACACACACACACACACACACACATGCGTGCATGCTACAGCTGTGTGTGATGTAACAAGAATTGACCGCAAAATTGCGCAAGCACAATACATGTACACTTAAGCTTGAGCATTTATTAGTATTCTTCATGATGACCAGTCCACTGAAATACAAACAAGCTCTTTTACGTATTTGTCCGTCTGTCAATTCTTTTCTTTATTTTTTTTAAGTATGATTTGTCATTTTGTTTTTTTTTTATTCTATAGGTGTATAGTATTGGTGATTTACGTTATGCCAATGAATCTGATCTACTTTCATTAGGCATGTCTAAGCCGCAATTTCGAAAAATTAAACGGCATATACCGTCATCATATAATACGGCTTTAAATAATAATACAATGTTGACAAGTACATTGGGCAAGCTTTTAGTTCGAGTAAGTGTTAGTAGCAAATGTAAATTATACGCATCAGCTAATTGATGTTCGAATGAAAATTGAGATGTGTTCAACTACAATCATTTTTCCCTCCCTCGTTGTTTCTCTTTCTCGTTCATATCGTTATCTTGTTCTTGCCTTTTTCTTCTGACCGGCATTGCATTACTTCTTCAGCGGCCGTTCACAGTTCTCTCTCACATAGTAAAGAAAAAAAAAAAAAAGAAGTACTACTACTCTTCGATTATCTCAACCAACAGAACTAGTAGCGGTCAAAAGCAATGGAAAACAGGTGGTCACTTGTACATTTATACAAAGTTCATCATCATTTTCTCTAATCTACACAGACTAGAATAATCTTTTCTTTGATATATTTATATATATATATATACATTTATTAGAAACTAACACTTCGTTCAACATCCAATCTAACACGAAGTACATTCGAACTAAACAGTAATTATGATCAGCAGGGTTCTTCAATAACATTATTAAATCAACAAACAACTATGGGTAAATATCAACAACAAAAAAATATTATTTCACAACAAAATATTCAATTAATTGAACAAATTGGTGAAGGAGAATTTGGCATTGGTAATTTGAATTTTTTTTATTTAATTAAATAAAATCTTTGTTTTTTATTTTTGTTTTTAAATAATTTTCTAGTTCATAAAGCTTTTTGGAGAACAAAACAAAATGAATTAGTAAGATATATACAATAATAATTCTTCGAAAATTAATTTCTCTTATTTTGTTTTTTTCATCTTATTTTTAAGTTAACTGTTGCCGTTAAACGGTTACATAAACTTGATCAAGATTTTGGTATTGATGATATATTAAAAGAAATATGTGCATTACAAGATATTGAACATACACATATTGTTCAATTTTTTGGTATTGTTATACAAACAGATGGTTCATTTATGCTTGTAAGAATTTTTTTTAAACAATTGATATTTTTTGAATAAAAGAAAAACAAAATCCTTTTTATTTTTTTTGTAGGTAACAGAATATGCTCATTGTCGATCTTTATATGAATGTTTATTATCAAATAATGGTAAATGTGAATATACAATAGAAATTTTACTTGAATTTTTAAGACAAATAACAACAGCAATGAGTTATTTAGAAAAAAAATTTTTAATACATAGAGATTTAGCTAGTAGAAATATTCTTGTTTTTAGTAAAACATTGGTAAGTTTCTTGTTGTTTTTTTTTTTTTGTTAAAATTATTATCTATGAAATACCGTTTTGTTTTTTCAAGGTTAAACTTTCTGATTTTGGTCTTTCTCGTCTATGTTGTTCAGAAACAAATTATTATAAAACATCATGGAAAGATACATTACGTTTACCAATAGCATGGATGAGTCCAGAAGCAATTAATTTTCTACGTTTTACAACAGCATCTGATGTTTTCTCATTTGGCGTTTGTATGTGGGAATGCTTTACTTATGGACAAATGCCATGGCAAGGAATGTCAAGTGCTGAAGTAATTTCTTCTTTTTTTCTTTTTATTTATTTAGTTTTTCAGGAAAAATAAATAAGCACAGGAGATATATTGATTAGTTCGTTGTTGTTGTTGTTGTTGTCTTTTTTATGTTAAAGGGTATCAATCGTTTAGAAGAATTTATTTTTTCGTGATGATATATCACGTAGATGACTTTTTCTTTGATATTTAAATGAATTAACGATCAATAAATCTTTTTATTTGATGATATCATTGAAAAAATGTTAAAGAAATATTTTCGAAGAGTTTAGTTCAATAAATAATTATCAATCAATTTCTTTATCTCAATAAAAATACCATATTGATTATTTATTTATTTATTTATTAGATTGTCAATGCTATTAACGCACCTAATCATCAACGATTACCACGCCCACTTTATGCTACAACAGAACTTTATCAAATTATGCTTCATTGTTGGAAATTTGAACCAACTGAACGTCCAACATTTTCACAATTAGAAAAAACTTTAGGAGAAGTAAAAAGAAAACAGAATATCTTTCTACAAACAAGATAATAATGTTTTGTTTTGTTTTTTTGTTTAGATTGAACTAAAAAAAGTTCGTTGGAAAGATAAAAATTCAAAATTAATAAATTTGCCCGATGGATTTCTTTCAATAGAATCTTGCATACTCGGACCATTGACTATTCTCGATCGATGGTATGTATGTGTGCATCAAATTTCGATAGCTTAGTATAAACGATAAAAGGAAAAGAAGAAGCAGAAGAAGAAGAAGAACAAGAAGAAAAAAAAAATGAGAGAAATGATTGAAAGGCAAAGTAACGGTAGTATGTATATGCGCAGTCGTGCTCGGAATTCATCGTTACATAAACACATTCTCTATTTCTTCTAGTGTGTATGAATATAAACGGGCCGGGGTCATTTGTTTTATGATGTGACGCACTACCTGTTATACACACTCTCATCGATTGCTCGATCAATCACAATCCCTTTTACTTTTTTTTTTTTTTTTTTTCTTTTATATCCTTGAATCTCGATATGTTGATGATCGTATTGAGAGAGAGAGAGAGAGAGAGAGCATGAGAAGAAAAAAATGGCCCAAGATTCAATTTCTTAATTAACAATGAACATATTTTTCTTTTCCATTTGCGTTCTCTTTTCGCTTTTTTTCTTTGTTTCGTTCATCTTCTCGACAACGATTTTTTTTTTCCTTTCTTTCTTTCTTTCTTTCTTTCTTCACTCTTCCATCTGTTATAGTCTTAACGTTCCCATATCATCGTCATCGGTCAATAATTTTCTACAGTGTGTATCTGTAGACGGTCAAATTGGTTTCGTTTATAATACTGATGTTGAACCATTACATGTTATATCAATATCTAAACCATTGATTACAACAATAACAAAAACGAATAATCATAATCATTTAACTTCATTAAAAATGAGTAATTTTTTTCATCGAAAAACTGGTTAGTTATACGTTTTTTTGTTTTTTCTTAAATTTATTATATATCTTTTGGGGGGTTTGTTTTCTTGATTTAAAAGATGGAAAGAAAAATTCTACTAAAACAAAAAATAAACAATTATCAAAAGATATGATTGGTTTACCACAACCCGATTTTATTCATGCATTTCATATTGGAGTATCAGGTATAGACAAAAAAAAACAAAGAAGATAATTGAAAGATTAAATTATTTTGTTTTGGTTTTTAAGGTGAAACATTTGGTGATGTTACTTGTCTTGCTGGTGTTGAAAAAACAGATTTAATTAAAATGCCTATTGAAAAAAGTCCATCACTTATGAATGGTAATTATTATTGTATTTAAATTTTAATATTCAAAATTGTTTTGTTTTGTTTTTATTGAAAAAGAATTTGAATCAAATTATAAACAACCAAATGTTATTATTGAACAAAAACAAGAAATAATTTCTGTTGAACAACAAACAGTAAAATTTAATTCGATTTTATTTTTGTTTTTTAAATTTTATTTTAATTTTTTTAGAATGATGAACATACTTCATCTTTACTTGATGAAGTTTTACAAGCATTTACAGAAATATATTCTGAACCTGAAACAACGTCATATCTATTAGAAGATAATGATATTTTACTAAAACCACCACCTAAACCTGAACGAAGTGAACCAACATCACCAAAATCTCCAACAACTAATGTAAGTCAAACAAAAAAATATTCAAGGAAAATAAAACTCGTATAATAAATAATAAAAAAAAAACACATTGCAATAGAATCATGTTTTTTTTCCAGTACATGACATTTCGAAGACAAAGAAAAAATGAAAAGGATAATGCTTGAATACAAGTTGTTAACATTTAAAGATTTACAACTTTAGAAATGTCAGGCATTTATGAGAAACTTTGTTTTTTTTTTTTTTGAGAATTTCATTATTTGACGCACAGAATTCAGCTTGGTTTTTCAAATCGAATTAATTACATCAGAATCATTTTAGTAGAACATCTTCATTTTAAGAATTTATCTATTTTGTAAAATGTATTACAAATCAAATACTAACATCAACGGAAAATAAAATTCGTTGAATCCAAAATTTTTGAATCCGAATCCGATTAGACGAGCTCTAAAGCACAGCGAAGAGGAACTCTTTGTGATGTTCTCTTATATGAACTCGTAATCAGGAATTTCCCTAAAGAGAGAATGAATGCTCCATCACGGAAGCACTTTTTTCGAATATAACGGATGACCTAGAATAAATTATTCTAGACCTTGATACTTTTTTTCTTTTCTTAAGTATAAAAGATTATCTTTATTAATTCACGTCTAGTCAGTGATTACTAATTCATTGCTGACGTCTATTGATTTTTGTAATGTCGATGCCAAAAGTTCATTATTTAATACCAATAGAAAGAGAAGGTTGTGCTCTATGCCTTTACGACCTTTACAAGGTTCTCGAGGCTCTTGTTTACGAGAAAAAAAAAGCTTGAATGTGATAACTGTCGGTAATTTTGGAAAATCATGTTTTCAAAAGCCAGTTATACTATCGAATATAGAACAAAATTGTGTAGAAATTAAAAAATAAGAATGTCATAAGTCTATTAGAACAGGACTTTTATCGGATGTTTTTTTTTACTTCGAAAATTGTTTTCTTCCAAAAATTCTGAAACAACTCGCAAAGATACGAACAGCTTATAGGATAAATTTGAATTCTTAAAAAAAATATGAAATCGAAATAGATTCGATATTCTGTCCTTTTTTTTTTGTCGCCATAACGTTTGTGCTATACGTTAGAAATCAAATAGTTTATTGTATGTTGAAGTCTTAATATGTCAAATAAAATCTTAGGGATCGTTTTTCATTAATTTTTTCGATTTCTTTAGCTTAAATTATCACCAATACCTTCAAGAACAATCGGCTTAAATCAATCTCCACCGGATAGCATGACAGGTAAAAATAATGATCAATTGAAATAACTAAACAAAGAAGAAATCATCATATTATTTTTTTTTTTGTTCAGATTCGAACAGTCGATCTCCATCAAATCATAATCGTTTATTAAAAAAATCACCAATAAAAAAATCCAATGAAGAAACTGGTCGATTTTCACGTGAACTTGAACAACGTTTACAAAATGGTTTGTTTATTTTTATTTTTATTTTTATTTTTCTAATCTTTCATATCAATACAAATAGGTGATATAAGTGAAGAAGCTAAACATGCTTATAATTTATTAGTTAATGGTTGTAAAAATAATTCATCTTTATTACATGATGAACATTTACAGTCAACAAGTCATGATGATTTATTATTAAATAATAATGAAATAGAAAATAATACAAAAAAATCACAAGAACATCCAACAACAGTATTGTTTGGTTCATCATCATCATCATCTTCAACGAGTATATCAACTAGTTCAACAAGTAATAATACTCAATCAAATACATCATCATCATCATCATCATCAAATCATCAAAAATCAGATCGTCATTCACATTATTCATCAACGTCAACAGATAATGATATTAGTATTGATCTTAAATCACAAAATGATGTATCACCATTAAAGTATATATTGCTTTTTATAATAAAAGAAAAAAAAAATTTTTCTATTCTGTTTTTTTTTTCAAGACTTTTAAGAAATGGTCTTAATCCTTCAAATCTAACATCAAAAACAATTCGTCAACAAATATCAATTAATGAAACAAATTCATCAAATCATTCACCTATATCATCAACATCAAATACATTAAGTAATTTATCTATAACATCACCATTATATGATCATGATCATAATTTATTATTATTACCACCACCACCTTCACAAACATCATCATCATCATCAAATAATGATGATAATCGTTCAATATCAAGTTTTAATTCACGTTCATTATCAACAAATAAAAGTGAACAACATTCAATAACAGGACAACCTTTACCACCACCACCGGATCTATCAAGTTTAGGAAGTAAATTAACAACAGCAACAATGACACATACATTAAAATTACCTGTACCATTAACATCATCGACATCAACATCGAATGCATATCGTTCGAAAAGTATGAATATTATATTTATTTGTTAAATACCATATTATTATCCTTTTTATTTTGAAATGAATTTTCTTTGAGTCTTACAAAAAAAAAACTCATCTGAATGGATACTCGCTGTTCGAATTTATATTGAACCGACAAGGACGTCTTGATGACACTAGTAGAGTTCATTCCTATGGGTTATTAGAACTGAGTTATGATCGTTTTAGTGAATTTTCTACTCACGAGGGAATATTCCCAACTATCACATCGCTTTTGAGTCGAGCGTATGCGCATCATGTAGGCCCTAATGATCTATGAATACTCTGAAAAAAGTTCGTGTCGCTTGCTTATTACTGCCGAGATATTGTATTTTTACTGTATGTTTAAGAAAAAAGGCCGTGCTCCCCCTCAGGAACATTAGGAAAACTAAGTTTTGAATTTCAACTTGAAACTGTGCATAGAGATAGACCTCAGTAAGAATAGTTTATTGTGAAAGTTTCAGATCTTTTCGTTGTTCCTATCCTAATATACAGCTATGGTAAAATAGTTTATATACACCAGCAGATTCCGATGTTCTTATTTCAGACTAGGAGCAATCAAAAGATCTGAAACTTTCACAATAAACTATTCTCATTGAGACCTGTTCTTGCACAAAGTTTCAAGTTGAAATTCGAAACTTAGTTTTCCTAGTGTTCCTGAGAGGACCACAACTTTTTGCTTATACATACAGTAAAAATGAAATATCTCGGTAGTAATAAGCAAGCGGCACGAACTTTCTTCTGATTATTCATAGATCATTAGGGTCCACATGATGCGCATACGCTCGACTCAAAAGCGATGTGACAGTTGGGAATATTCCCTCGTCAGCTTTTAGGTATATATTGAAAAGCAAAATTTTACGTCGAAATTCTGCTTTTTGATATATACACCCAAAGCTTGGTCACTTCTTGTAAGTGTAATATGAGTTCAACCAGTGTGGGTATCAGTTCAGGTTATTCCCTCCGCTAATCGTTTTTACCTATTGCCGAAGTTTAAAAAGCTCGTCAACTGAAAATCTTCAAACTGTTTGTGGGTTGGTACTGAATTTAGTTTTCAAAAAAAAATTTTTTCATGAGATCCAGAATTAAAACTATGGTAGACACCCAAGATTCAAATAGACCAACTTCTCTTAGATTTATCTGTCTTATAATAGACTATAGTTTATCCATCGTTGTCTGTTTACTTGTTTTTTTTTTACATAGTAATCTTTGAATGAAGTCGAAGATTGTCTTTTTTAAGAACGCAAGAAAATTATGTCAATTCAAATAAGATGATTAGGCCAAATATTTATTAATTTAATATCCTAACGAGAAGAATCTTCCAACTGATAAGTATTGCTTTTAAGTCGAGACTATGTACATTATGTAGAACCAAATGAGGTATATAAATACACTGAAAACAGTTTAAGCCTTTAACTTAAATTTAACATTTTCAAAAATTTATTTTTTTTAAAAAAAAAAGAGCAACCAGATCAAGATGACATATTTTCTAATAATATAACTATAAATTAGAGAATAATAAAAATTAGACAAGAAATTATATCAAATAACAATTAAAAAATAGTGACATAATATAACCTAGGAAAATAGATAATTAGACTAAATAAATATATGATCAATGATATATGTACTTAAAATATACTATCACACATGATTATGCTTAACTGAAATAATTCCGATTTCATATCTCACCTTTCAACATCAAAAGTATTTCCTCTATCTTTCTAAATGAACATTTCCTATTTAACCAATGACGTATTTTCTTGAAAATAGATATAGAAAAACAACAACATCACAGACATGCAATCTCTATCTAGTTTAAATTTTTTGTCTCATCTGATGAAAAATTCAATTATTAAAGCCTATGGTTAGATCGGTCTAATACAACATCTATTTGATCCGTTAATATAAAAATTATTTTCTATTTTTAGAACGATTCAATTTGTTTACTTCATAAATCTTATTTACTTCAAATGGTATTTTTCTTTTTTCGAATGTTCGATCAACTAGTCAAATGAATTTTCTTTTTTTCTCGTTGTTCTTCTTGCGTTGTTAATTTGATGATCGATCCGTCCTTATTCTCTTGTAAACGAATATTATTTAAATTTGTCTTGACAATGATAATGACTAACACTTTATTTTTTACTTCTTTGCGTGTGTTAAATATTTTTTTCTTTTTTCTTCTGCTCGATTTCTACTCAAATTTAAACGAACAGTGTATCATACTCATTCGCTGTTATTGTCTTCTTTATACAATTAAATACAAGAAAACGAAAATTAACCGATTCTATATAAATTTAAAAAAAAACAAAAAAAAGCTCATAATAATGTTAACTTGGTTAAAAATTTAGTTTTCTTCTTCATTCTCTTTTCTTTTTTTTTTTTTGTATTCTTTTTTTTTTCTACACATCTCTTTTTCATGTACGTAAAAGAAAATCGTAATATAATGTATCATTTTTTTTTCTTCTTTTCTTTGGTTGTGGCTTGATAAAAAGAAAAAATACATGCTTATTATTATTATTATTATTATTATTGTTATTATGAATGAAATTCATGTACAAAAATATGAATTGAGTATGATTATATGTATTAAACCGATGGGTAATTAAGTAAGAAAATAAAAAGAAAAATGAATAGTGATGTCGTCAAAAAAGAAAAAAGAAATTGTCAGATCTAATCGAAATAACAAAAAATGACAAATAACATAGTCCGTTCGTATTATTCATTTATTCGTTTTATACTTGTTTTCTTTTTGCATATCAACAAGCAACAATAAACAGCTGTTATATATTATGTGTATTGTACGTAGGTGAAATTGCGAACAAATTAGTTGAATTTTCTTTTATGAAAATCTTTTGAATTCATAGAATTATAAATATAAGTATTATAATTATGAGTATGTCATAGAAAAGAAATGAAAAAAAAATCTAGTCTTAGTCAATGTAAAATAAAAAAATAGATAAGAAATTTCAAGGTATCATTTTGATTATAATTAAGTTCATATGGATTCATTTATGTTGAATTTGAAAATCTAATCACAAATCACTAAAACTATTGTGATTCACATATTAATTAGAAATTTTTTTTTTTTGCAAATAAAATCTTTGTAAATTTATTTAATATTTTAGCCTGATATTTGTCCATGTTCGGATGATATAGATATTTGTCTATGTTGTATTCCACTTAATTTACTTTGTTGCTGTTTGCCATGTTGTCGTCCTCCTCGGTACAACTTCCTTCCTTTTTATTTAATACATACACTAATTATTCTAATTTTAGTGATCGAGTTGTCTATGTTCAAGCAGCTCAACCAATGCATCCAACTCGAGATCACAGTTATATTATTCGTGAACCTATTTCACGTTAATAATTACAGTGAAAAATAGTAACTATTTCTTTTTTTTCTTGTATATATTTCTAATCAACATTCATATGAATATAACAAATAACTGATGATGTTCTTTTTTATTTTCTATTGATAATAAAGCTCAATGTTCATACCATCATGAATTTCTATGAAAAAAAAAAACAGAAATAGAAAATGATAAATAATTGAAATAAAAGATTATTCTACAAACCATAATCAGCAAGAGTTATGTTGTCTTTGTAGATATTATCTAAAATTCATCCGAAGTCCCAAATTATATTTTTTTTGTATCATTTTAAATTATCGGATATAAATATTTCTCGATTTTGATGTTACGAGTTTTACATAAGAAGATCTAAATCTCCGACAAGATAGTTAGGAATTCTCAATGGATGTCTAATAAAAGAAAAAAAAGAAATACTTACACCATTTTTTTAATATAATTTTTTCGGCTTTTGTACCAGTTTGTGCAGCAATTAATTTTTTAAGATCACCAATTGTATCATCAGAATTACATTTAACACGAACTTTTTTACCAAGACGATCGTTACAAATAACTTCTATCATTTTTTATTTTGGCAGTAAAATAAAAAAAATATAGTTTCTTTTTCTTTTTTTTTTTTTTTATTGTTTTTATATCAACATTCTGATTGGTAAATTAAGATAAACCAATGAAAAAGATTTGGATTTATTGTTTTGACAAAAAATAATAACATGTTATGACAAAACGAAATCAATATTTTACTTTACGAACTAATTCATTTGAGAAGATTTAATTTTTAATTTTTTTAACAACTAACGACATTATGTTAGTTGATAATTGTGTGACTCGTGACTATGCATTCGTGTGTATCCCCAACGGCCATTGCGATCTCTCTTTTCCTTCCTGTCTCTGACTGGCCTAGGCATCGTCTTGCGCTTGCACATACTCGTTCTTTATTATTACTACTTTTCTCTAACTGCCGTTTCTTCTTCCTCTTTTCTTCTTCTTCTTCTTCTTCTTCTCCTTCTTCTTCTTCTTCTTCTTCTTCTCTTCTTCTTCGTCTTCGTCTTTTCTTCGCTCAGTCTGTCTCTCTCCCTCTCTCCACCTGAATCGGCATCGGGGGTTTGCTTCTTCGTGTGTCGTCGACCAGAAATAAGCTTTTTCTATATCTGCTGTTACTGCTTCTACTATTGCGACAAACAACGACAAGAATCTTGTTCGTTTTGTCGCGTTTATGTAACGCATGCTACTAACATACGCATGTTGATCTAATATTTTTCCTTTATCTAGCAATGATGATGACCCAACGTCCACCTCCATTTATTTATTCATATTTAATATGATCGATCAAAATCATTTTTTATCGTATTGACTGTATGAAATATAATAGTACCCTATTCAACAAATTTCTCAATACTATTAATAATAATAATTTAAGCAATAGCAACAACAAAAATACAAAGAAAGATAATAATATAACGGTGCCGCCTCCTACAACAACGTCTATTATCAATATGGCTGCTGTTACAAATAATACAGCAATATCAAACTCAGTCCCAACATCCACTCGTTTCACTGATGAATATGATCTTAAAGAAGAACTTGGCAAGTGAGTTCTTATATATATATATGCTTTTATTTGTTGTTATTCTTTTCCTTTTTTTTTGTGCTTTTTTTCCCTCATTTCTCATCTGTTTGATTGATGACGTAAATAAATGTAAAAAATATTGACTATTCCTCATGAGTCCAGTTCTAAATTGCAGCAACCATTTTGTCACCCCTTGTTGCTATATTGTTGAACCTTCATAGAATGCCGCTACTCGCCTTCCTGATTAATCGCGCTTGTATGTCGCGGATATTATTTTTCTCTCGTTCTCTTCATCATCATCATCATCATCATCTCCAACATCGTCGTTCTTCTTTCTCTCTCCCTCTCTCTCTCTCTCTCTCTCTCTGTTTCTCATTCGTATTCTGACCTCATCCTTTACTACTAACACTAGTGACTGACTATGAGAAGAAAAAAAAACAACTCACTGTTATATGTTCTCGTTCAAGACTTAGACTAAACGTATATTATCATAAATGAGAGAACGACAAGATCAGAAAGGAAAAAGACATTATCATCAAGACGTCAGTTAGCATGATAAAACAACTTCAATCAATTGTGTTTGAATACAGACTTTTGTTTGTTTGTTTAGTTTTTTTTTTTTTTTTTTTTTGTGTTAACTGACTGTTCATCCATGCAAGAGTATTATAACAAGAATATAAAAACAAAATGCGTTGGCGTTTTAGCCTATGGCAAGAAAAATAAAGGGAAAAACAAAACTCATTCTAAATGAAAGAAAAAAGAATAAAAAAAAAAAAGAATTCATTAATAATGGATTACAATCAATTACAATTCTATAACGAAAGAATATGTATTAATATTCTTTGTTCTTTTGTTTTTTAAGAGGTGCATTTTCAATTGTAAAACGATGTATACAAAAAAGTTCTGGACAAGAATTTGCTGCAAAAATTATTAATACAAAAAAATTATCCACTCGAGGTAAAAAACAAATTAGATCAATCACAAATATGATTTTTTTGTTTTCTTTCTTTCTTTCTTTTATAGATCATCAAAAACTCGAAAGAGAAGGTCGTATTTGTCGACAATTAAAACATCCTAATATTGGTAAGATGTTTTTTTTTTGTCAACAAAACAAAAACATTTATTGTTTTTTTTTTTTTTTTTATTTAGTTCGTCTTCATGATAGTATTCCTGAAGAAAATTTTCATTATTTAATATTCGATCTGTAAATTTATTTTTCTTGAATTTCAAAAAAATAAAATAAAATAAAATTTTTAAACTTTTAGAGTTACCGGTGGTGAATTATTTGAAGATATTGTTGCTCGAGAATTTTATAGTGAAGCAGATGCCAGGTATAAATCATTTCTTTTTTGTTTTGTTTTATTTATGATCATATTATTCTAGTCATTGTATTCAACAAGTACTTGAAGCTGTACGGCATTGTCATGAAAGTAATATTGTACATAGAGATTTAAAAGTACATTTTTATTTGTTATGACTGATATATATATATATATATATATATTATTGTTGTTATTTATTTAGCCGGAAAATCTTTTACTTGCTAGTAAAACAAAAGGTGCAGCTGTCAGTAAGTATTTTTATAAAAGAAAGAAAAAAAAAACTTTATTTTAAGATTTTCAAGGTTATGAAGCTTGTTTTTCTTCTTAAAAAAAAAGAAAATTATGCAGGTTATTTCCGGCATAGGAAATGAACGGAACTGGGTTTTTCCTTCTATTTGATAGAATATGAAAAGTAATTTGATATGAAAATTTTCTTTTTTTTTTTTTTTCTCAAGAACTTGCTGATTTTGGTCTTGCCATTGAAGTCAATGGTGAACAAACACAGTGGTATGGTATGTATTAAAAGGAAAAAAAAGAAAATGTTTATTGAATAATGAATAATTAAAATTTTTTTATAAATAGGTTTTGCTGGAACTCCAGGTTATCTTAGTCCTGAAGTACTTAAAAAAGAACCCTATGGTAAACCTGTCGATATATGGGCATGTGGTAAGTTATTTTTGTAAATAAATAAATTTATTTTTTTGTTTTTATATATTAGGCGTTATTTTATATATTCTCCTTGTCGGTTATCCACCATTTTGGGATGAAGATCAACATCGTTTATATAATCAAATAAAAGCTGGCGCTTATGATGTAAGAATTCGAAAAAAAAAACAAAAACAAAAATAAATGATCATTTTGTATTTTTATTCTTTGATTTTATCCTATTTAGTATCCATCACCTGAATGGGATACAGTAACAACTGAAGCAAAACGTTTAATTGATTCAATGCTTAATATTAACCCAAGTCGACGTATCAGTGCAACTGATGCTCTTAAACATCCATGGATTTGTGTAAGTTATTTGAAAAAAAAAAACTGCTCATCATTTATAATGTGATTCATCATATTTTCATAAATTACATACATTTATGGTATATTTACTGGTTTTGTTTGCTGAATGAACGAGAAATAGTTAGATGATAGAGGGAAAAAAAAAATGTTCATAGCGGGAATAGGATAATCGAAACGACTATTCGACAGCAAAAAGAAACAAAAGCATCCAGAATAGAATGCATTAGTGCATCTCATTCTCCCTTTTTACTATGCTGCGAAAGAAAATAAATCAGAGTCATCATTGATAGAAATAGAGAGAGAGATATGAGAAAAAAAAAGACGAAGACGAAGAATCAAGCATTCTATTCTTGATTTGATTAAAATATACGAGAAAAACATCAAATAAGCTCAAAAAAAAAAAACTCTATTTTTATTTTCTAGCAACGAGAACGCGTTGCTGGTACAATTCATCGACAAGAGACTGTTGATTGCTTACGTAAATTCAATGCACGACGAAAATTAAAGGTAATTAATCTTATTACGTATATAGCGTACATATGATAGAAGAAAAAGAAAAAAAAAAACAAACATTGGACTTGATCACTTTCATATTTTCGATCGTCTTCTGTCGTATCATGTTTTTCGCCATATTTTGTTTAACATGTATCATTGTATGCTATTTATTTTTTTTTTAAAAACAAAAAAAAAGCATTAAATTAATTTTATTATTTTCTTAAGGGAGCTATTTTATCAACAATGTTTGTCAATCGTACTTTAATACCTAGTAAGTAAAATAACAAAAATTACTAAGTCTATATATACATATTTTGCATGTTTTCTATCGGCCTGCATATCCTTTAATTGCTTTAAATATTGTGATTTAATATGTGTGTGTGTATTTCTTTATCTAATGCGAATTTAACACATTATCTAAATACATAAATAATGTTTTTTATATTTCAACTTTTCTCAAAAGTTTAACAATTTGTTTGGTTTAGTTCTTTTCTCGTTAAATATCTCTGTACTTTATTTAGAGGTGGATACGACCTCAAATTGAAAAAATACGTACACATTTATCTGCAAAGAATACATTGTGACATTAATTAAACTAAAATATAGACAGGATTTTTATTTCTTTCTTCAAAAAAAAAAAAAAAAGTACCTAAACAAATTCATGAGCTTCTTCATCCTCTTGTTTTTTTTCAAATAACTAAGAAAATATTATATTATCTCTGTGTATGTTTTTTTTTCTTTCCTGCATGATATATATACATCGTGTTTACTTTACCTCATCTTAGATTTTTTGTTTTTTTTTCTTGTGCAATGATGTATGTTTGGTTTTTATTTTTGTGTTCTATTTTACCTGCTCGATCTTAGTTCGTTTTATTTTTCTTCCCCATATATACCTTATCATTTTGAATATGTATGTGTGCATTCGTTTGGTAAGAAAAAACAAATAAACAGTATACATTTACATGGACGAAAAGAGGAAAAAGTACATCTCATTGGAAATGACTGGGTCAATTTTTAGATGCAGGTATATTTGCAACTGGGACTGGTGGTGTACAATCAACAACTAATGGTAAAAAACCATCAACCGGTGTCGGAGCGATTTCACCGAGTACAAGTCCGATTATATCAGCTTCTGCTAGTGGAGGTACGCGCGTGTGTATATATATATATATTTGAATGTGTTTCTTCCTTAACACCTGCTCAATTTTGTTATGTAATGTAGTTTAAAAAGTACAAAACACTGTAACCGAATTTTCTTTCTTTTCGTTTTCTTATGTCATGTAATTTTTTCCAAATTGCTTTAACATGCATATCTTTCTTGCTTCGGATCGAATTTGAAGAGTAGATTTTTTTTTTGAATTAGTTCCTTGATTTGATTTTTAAATAAATGATTTTTTTTTTTTTTTTGTTTTTTCTTTTTCAGGTAATCGTTCTCGACCAACAACTCAAAGTGGTAATAGTGCTATTAAAGAATCAGCCGATAGTAATAGTGCAACTATTGATGAAATTAATGATATTGATCGATTAAGTAAGTAAGATAGAATAAGATATTATTTTCTTATATTTTTTATAAATAAAATAAAAATAAAAAAGATATCAATACCATAGCTGAAAAGAAGATACAATTATGCATACCTAAAGCAGAAAATCGAAGTAAGCAAAAAATAAAATAACAAATGAGGTGCTATATTATTCTTGTATACACGCCTATAATCACTTGTTACTTTTATTTTATATTAATAACACTGGGATAAAGAAATTAATTAATTTTTTTTTTGTTTTTATTGCTTATCTGTTGTTTTTGAATAATCATATGAATATATGTTTTTTTTTTTTTTTTTTTTTTTTATTTATTTATGTTTAGGTTTAGAAATAACTAAAGTAACCGAACAATTATTACAAGCAATTGCAAATAGTGATTATGAAATGTATAAGTAAGTAAAATAAAATAAAAATTCTTTTTAAAAATTAAATTTATATATATGAATTTCTTTTTTAAGATCATTATGCGATCCAAAAATAACTTGTTTTGAACCTGAAACTATAGGAAATCTTGTTGAAGGTCTTGATTTTCATAAATTTTATTTTGATACAGGTATGTTGAAAAATAAATTATCTAAATAAACCTTAGAGATTCAAATAGAAACCCTCATTTTCCCTCTTTTGTCTTTTGTGTTTTTTTTATTTAATTTTTCCCCGAATTTTTTTTTTCAGGAAAATTTGCTCGTTCCGATACAGGTAAATAGATATGTATATGTCGTATTTGTTATGAATATTAGTTTTTATTTTATATATATTTTTCTTATTTTTTTTATTTTAAAATTTAATATTTTTTTCGTTTCTTTTTTTAGTCTTATCGCCTAAAGCAAGTAAATCAACAATTAATTGTACAATGTTAACACCAGTTGTACATACATTAGGAGATGAATCAGCTTGTATAGCTTATATTTTACTTCTTCAATATATTGATCGGTATAAAAAAAAAAATTACGATTTTTTTGTAATAAAAATGAGATTTCGAACTGGTATTTTTTGTTTTAGAAATGGTCAACCACAAAGTGTTCGAACAGAAGAAACTCGTGTATGGCATAAAAAAGATACTCGTTGGCAATGTGTTCATTTTCATCGTTCTGGTATGCCAGTTGCTGCAGCGCTAAAATCTTCATTTTCAAGTACATTATTATAAACAAAACAGAAAAAAAAACAAAACAAATCTATTCTAGTTGTTGTTGCTCATTCATTTATCTATCATAGTTTTATGCGAGAGTATGTGATGGCACTTTTTTCTTCTGTTTACGAGTTATTATTTCGGTTTTTTTTTTTTTTGTGTACCCTATTCTTTGAAAAATTTCATTCCTTTCGATGTTGTCTTATTCTTATACCTCATCTTCTTTTGTGCCTATGTGACACTAAATTTTATTGTTTTTTTGTGAAATTTCCTTTTTTTTTGGGGCGGGAAGGGAAGGATGGAATGACAAGGATGTATTTCATTCAATTTGAAGTTTTTTTTTTCTCTTTGTCAAAGAAGAAAAATATATATAAATATAGAGAAAAAAAAACGTCTTATTTGGTTTCTTTCTTTTCAGTTAATGGATCAGTACATGTTTGTTGTTGTTTGCTCATACCCTTTTCTCTCTCACTCTCTTTTATTGTTTGTCCTTGTTTATTCTTTTGATGGATCGGTGATGATAAAGAAGTTTTTATTGTCAACAAATAAAACACAAAAGGTTATGAATCGAATTTTTTTTTTTTGTTTAATTAGAATCAAAGTGACTTTACTTCCGATCCTAAGTTCTTGACATTTGACAAAAGATATATGCTATTTAGAAGTATTAGATGATACTTAAGAATGAAATGAATTGATGTTGAAGTAGTAGGACATAAGATGAGTATATAAAAATCCTATATCGGAAACTGAAGATTAATAGGTTATGGTGTTTTTGTGTTAGCTGAATAAAATATGTCATAAAATAAAAAAGCTTTTAAAAAGCCATCTGATGCAGCAATAATGAATGATAAATAATACAAATAGTTTTTTTCTTTTTTTAGGGAAAGGGGGGGGGGAGGGGCGAAGGGGAGAAAGGGTGAATATATAAATATTCAATACAAGAATAAGATCTGTTTGATGCTTCAAATTAAATAAAAAAATTTTTAAAATTTTCTTTCAAAACTCGACTATCTATTTTCTATGATTTGTCTTCAAATGTCCAATCAAATTTCTTAGAGCCCAACGTAACCTGCTCTTGTACTTTTTTTTTTCTTATCTATCAAACAACTATATATCAATGTTTAAAACTCAAACCATTGTCTTTTCGTTTTTCTTTTTTGCAGATAGGAATGTTTATTCAGTATTTAGTGCTCTTTGTTCTTAGCACTTTAACATTAACATTTGCAAATGATGATCCATCATTACAACGATATCGTGGTCATATTTTAAAAAATAATGGAAAATATGAAATAATTACAGAATTAGCAAGTTCTTATAAAGAACCTAATATAAATGTAAATTATATCTTAGCAACTGGATTTTGGGATCAAACTTATAATAAAACTGGTTGGTCTGTATTAGAAATAAAAACATCTGATAATCAAACAAATATTGAACAAGTGTATTCAGCTGGATTACTTGAAGGACAATTTACACGAGGTTAAAATTTAATTTTTTATTCGAATGATTATTAATCATTTGTCTTTGTTTTTTTTTTTTTATTTCTTATAGAATTAACTAGTATGCAATGGCAAAATAATATAAATGATGTTTGTGCTAATAAAACAACATTTTGTGGTTATCTTAAACAATTTTTTCAAATTCAACTTGATTGGATGTATACACAAATTGATAGTTATCCTGATGATGAATATTGGCATCAAGTATTTAAGAAAAAAAAAGAAGATCTATTTCGTAAAGATATTTGAATTTATTTAGGTAAATTTACTTCTTGTTCAACTCAATGGTCTCATTGATGGAAATCAAAATAATCCACGTGGACCAAGAAAAGAACTTGATGATCCACTTGGATTTTTGTAAAAAAAAACAAATTAATCCTTTTTGTTTTTTCTCTATAACCTATGTTTCTTTTTTCAATAGTCTATTTCAAGTAGTTGAATCTATCGGTGATCTAGCTGATCGTTTTAATATACCAAATGTTGAACGACATGATAGTTGTTCAGCATTAATTAAAGTAAAACAAAAAAGAAACAATTGTTATATTAAAGACAAAAAATTATTTTATTTAGATTTTACCAAATAATAGTGATATATTTATATCACATGCTGATTGGAGTAATTATAGAACAATGTTAAAAGTAATTAAACGTTATATAATGCCATTAAAACGATCAACAGCTACAGGAAGTAGGATGAAGAAAATTTCTATTTATTTATTTATTTTCTTTTTCATTTATTTAGGTACTCTTATTCCGGGTGCTGATATGGTTTTTTCATCATATCCAGGAACACTTCATTCAGTTGGTTAGTTTGAAGCTTTTTTTCATTCATGTAAAAAAAAAATATTTTTGTATTTAGATGATTTTTATATGACACGTCCAGCTCATATGACAATAATCGAAACAACAATTGTTAATAGTAATCAAGATTTATTACATAATATTATTCCAATTTCTGTACCAGAATGGATTCGTATTATTGTTGCTAATCGTCTAGCTAATTCTGGTCGTGAATGGATTGATAAATTTTTTCTTTATAATGATGGAACATATAATAATCAATGGATGATTACTGATTTTAAACGATTTACACCTGGACAATTACCAAAATCTGAGTAAAATTTAAATAAAAGATTAAAAAAAAAACAACAAATTTTAAATTGAAATTTTCTTTTTTTAGATTTTTAATGGTTGCTGAACAATTAATAACTGATTTTGAATCACAAGATATGACTGATACATTAATTAATAATACTTATTGGGCATCATATAATAATGTTTATTTTCCACGTTTTCGAAATTTATCAGGTGAAGAAGCAATGGTTCAACAAAAAGGACCAGAATTATATTCATGGAAAAATTCATCACGTGCAAGAATATTTGCACGTGATCATATTAAAGTTGTTGATCTTCCATCTATGATTCATATGATGAGGTTAATAATTCAAAAATATTTTTTATCTTTTTATAGTTTAAAAAAAAAGAAATTTTTTTATTCATTTCAACAAATAGATATAATGATTTTCAACATGATCCTTTATCAGCATGTAATTGTACTCCACCATATTCATCAGAATTAACAATTGCTGCACGATGTGATCTTAATCCATCTAATGGAACTTATCCAGATCCACCACTAGGACATCGTGTTCATGGTGCAACAGATGCTAAAGTAAGGAAAATTTGAAGAAAATAATAAAACTAGAAAATAGTTTTTGATTGCTATCTTCTGATTTGTAAACAATATTTATGTAACAAGTTTATGTTAGTTGGTGTCATAGATGTTCATAATGGTGCGATAGTGGCAGATTTTCGCATCTGATTTGTATGAACTCATACTAATGAAAAACTTAATTATGACAGAAATTCTTTTTATTATATTTGAAATTTTAATTATTTCGGCAAATCTTTTGATTACTTAGGAACACATTTTAAAGTCATTATTTTTTTTTCAATAGAACTATTCTTATGACTTATCTTTTTCTTATCTTTACAGATTACTAACTATGCAATGATGCAAAACTTTACACTTGTTGCTATTGCTGGTCCAACATCAGATAATCAACCACCATTTGTTTGGAGTGAATCAGATTTCAATACACAAGTATCACATGTTGGTCATCCAGATAAATGGGATTTTGGACCATTTACACCAACATGGATGTTGTGAAATATTTTTTGTGATAGAGACAGTTGACTTTTTCTATTATTCAAGAGTGTGACTTCATTTTCTATCTTGTAAGCCATTTTTTTATAAAAAGCAAAAAAAAAAATAATATTGATAAAATATTGACTTTGTTTGTTATCTGAAAGAAAAAGTTCACGGAGTATTCTTTTTTTTTTTTTGTTCTTGATATGAATCTTATTGATATAGAGCAATGATGATTTTTCAAGATAAGTACAGAAAGAAGAGAGAGAGAGAGAGAGAGAGAGTTAAGTAATGACTTGTAAAATTGCATACAGTACTCTTTGATATATCCAAAGATAAGTGTTCATCGTTTTTAGTTCGTCATTGACAAAATAAATGAAAGTATAGTTGATATTGTAATGAGAGAATTAGCATTTTTTACTCTTTCATAGGACTGATTTTATGATTAGTTTATTATGCAGTCAACGAAATAAATTCAAGTATTTCTATTATCATTCTTATGTCATTCAAAATAAATTCATAATCAATAGCCTCATTTTATTCATCTCATCGAGGGTTACAAAATGTCTTACGCACATTTTCCTAATATTAACATCATTCAATAGAAAATTATATTCAAATATAGCAAGTACTTGTACTTGTCATTTGAAGCAGTTTTTCTGCTCTGCATGTCAGCAGATTGGAAAACTTGTTGTATATCATTTTGTCTAGTGGAAGCTGCCAAACTCAAGAATTCTATTGAATTGATATTTCATACAAGCTGTAAGGATGTTGAATGTAACTTTGACGGTTACCAGAAGTTTGTCAGAGATAAATTAATTAAAAAAAACCTTGTAATAACTTTTTCTAAAGGAATCTGTCGAAGGTTTCTTAGAATATACCGAAAGAAAAAAACGAATTTCATTTCCCTGACTCTTCACTACTTTACGATACGAAAATTTCTTTAGAGTAAATGCTTTTATTAATCAAAACTAACAGCGCACGTCATTTAGCGCCCTCTATTCTTTATAAAAACCATTATTCTACTGAAAAAAGAAAAATTTCGTTATGAAGATATTCTTATGCAATTTAATATCTCATCATAATTTTCAATAATATTGAATCTCTTAATCAGAGTCGGTTACTAAGTAATAATTTAGCCATGTTTATCAAGAAGAAAAAAAAAAAGAAAAAAGAGAAATAAAAATAATCGTCGTTGTCGTTGTCGTCCATCGACATTGTGTTTCCAAGTGATCGAGGTACCTATGACGACCCTTACTTTTTACAAACGCTCTCATTTTCTCAAATATTATTCATTTATTCTTTTTTGAGATATGTTCAAAAATACATTTCAAAGCGGCTTTCTTTCAATATTATATAGTATCGGTAGTAAACCATTACAGATTTGGGATAAAAAAGTATAATTTCTTTTGTTATTAAATAAAATATATTGATATTTATTTAGGTACGTAATGGACATATCAAAAGAATAACAGATAATGAAATTCAATCACTAGTTTTGGAAATCGTTGGTACTAATGTTAGTACAACATATATAACATGTCCAGCTGATCCAAAAAAAACACTTGGGATTAAATTACCATTTCTAGTTATGATTATAAAAAATTTAAAAAAATATTTTACATTTGAAGTACAAGTAAGAAGAAGAAGAAGAAGAAAAAAAGACCAAGCATAAGTAGAAAATTTATTTTTCATTTAAAAAAAAAATTATATAGGTTCTTGATGATCGAAATGTTCGTCGACGTTTTCGTGCTAGTAATTATCAATCAACAACACGTGTTAAACCATTTATATGTACAATGCCAATGCGTTTGGATGATGGATGGAATCAAATTCAATTTAATTTATCTGATTTTACACGACGTGCTTATGGTACCAATTATATTGAAACCCTTCGAGTTCAAGTATATTGATGTTTATTAAAGATTTACTTTTTTGTGTTTTATTTTATTTAAAAGACTTCTCTTTATTTTATAGATTCATGCTAATTGTCGTATTCGACGTGTTTACTTTTCGGATCGACTTTATTCAGAAGATGAATTACCACCGGAATTTAAATTATATTTACCGGTATGTTGAAATAAAAAAAAAAAAAAATTCTTATTGATTACAAAAAAAAAAAAGAACAAAAAACTTATGTATGTTGTTTTTTTTTCTATTTAGGTTCAAAAGAAATAATCGATTTCTATTAAATACATTTCTTTTTTTTTTCTTTTCTTCGTTCTATTTTTTTTTTCAAAGGCAAAAAATAAAAATCTATATATGATCAGAATATCATGATTATTCACGATAGAACAACTGTGTGTATAGTCATGGTTTTGTCTTTTTTCTTTTTCTTCGTCTTCTTCTTTCAAAAATGTAATGTCAACAGTTTTTCTATGTCTGTTCGAATTTTTTACATATATTATTCCCTCAAGCACGAAAGAAAACATATAGTCTATGCTTTATTAGAAAATAATTTTTTTTCTATTCATTTTTGTTTTTCAATATTATTGATATATATATATATATATATATAAATCAATGAAGATTTTCTAGTTTAAGCAATTTACATCGAATTATTTATTTATTTATTTTTTTAAATGAAATTTTTTTAGCTATTGGATTTATTCAGAGTAAATATTTGATTATATCAAAAATTATTATCTATGATAACGTTTCAGCTTAGATTCTTATCGATATCGAGAATTCTTTTAATGCAAATAGATTTTCGTCTTGATGAAAGTTTTTTTTTTTCTTTTCTGAACAAAATTTTTGTAAGTAACTAGTCGATTATAAATGATAGTTGTGTTTTATTTTCTCAATTTTTTTTTCCAATATCAAAGATTTGGACAAAATTTTCCATTTTCATAATTGAATATATATAGCTGATAATTTGATATAATTACGATAATGTTTATTTCCGACAGAAGAAAATTATTCTCGATTATTGATATTTAATATTATCGATCATCAAACTGTCAAATAAAAGTAATAATTGATTATTATGGAATTTGTATATGTTGACAGTTTGTGTCTACATTCGTAATAAGCAAAAACAGATAATTATTTCCAATTCGTTGCATTTCCTGTAAACTATTAGAGATTGAAATTTCCTTTCGATAATGATTTTTTATGCTTGAATAAATCTATTCGAACATTAGTCTACACATCTCTACTTGATATTTACGATTTGTAAGAGCAGAACTAATTGAATCGACTATGACGAACTTACGATGCAAAATCAAAAACTCATTCATGTTTTATATCTTACGTATATTTCAAATAAATCTGATTATCTAACAAAACATGCCTTAAGGAGAATTTCTCTTAGAAAATCGAATCTTTCAAAAACATATCGAAGTTGAATTTTTATCATGGAAAGATGCAGAAAAGTTTCCTCTTTCAGAATATATATATATATGGCTTTTTGGAAAATGATTAAATTTTCGAAGACTTATCACATGAAAATTTGACTCTACTACCATATTCTTGGAGAAATTTTCGTAGTTTTTCAGTTTTGGAAAAACTGTGTTACCACTGGCATTATCATTGAATAGAACATTTTTATATTAATTAGCATGTCAGATGGTGTCAGCTACCTTCATCTATTACATACTTTAAAATGGTCCACTGGAACATATTAAGAATACACCATTATAATATGATTCGTTCTGAATTTGAATGAAAAAATCCATTCCTAAAACTTCTTTAGCGTTTTTCTCAAAACACGGTATCTATGCAGGAAAATTGAAAAAAAATCCTTCTCGACTCGAAGTATAATCGATGGTTTTTTTTTTCGTTTTAAAGGTCTTAATCAGAGCTAACTTTTCATCGGACAAATTTTTGATACTTGATTGCTGGACAGAGAAAAATGGGATTTACCGTCGATCGAGTCACCTTTTTCTACGCTTGTTTTGAACCCTGTGTCCCTTAAAATACTCATAAAATATGAATTGAAGAGAGTTTTGAGATTTTGTCCGATGAAAGGTTGCGCACTGAGGCTAGCTTTAATTTGAAACCAGCCTGAAATCTGTAGTCCTTATAACGACGGAGTTATTTCGATTCTCCTGGAAGGTAGGAAAACAAGTCGGAAGTTCGGTTTAGTAGGATACATCAGGCTGAAATTTTTACCACAAGCATTTCTCACTAGGACGACTCATTCCTGAAAATTCCAGTTCAAACGATCCATTCTAAGTCGTCAATCAATTCTGAGGAGCCCTTTAAACAATCAGTTGGAATATTTTCACTCTCAGATGATGTCATTGAAAGAACTAAAATTTTACTTGTTTGTTAACATGAAATAAATAATTCTGTTTTCTTATTTTGTTAGTTTTAATATCATCACCAGCAGAGAATGCGTTTAATTTAGTACGCATAATAATAACTAATTTTGTTTTTCTATCTGATTTCATCTCATTACACTGTACTGACTCAAAATCACTAATTGAATGATATATGGGTACTAAGAATTCATTAGGTGAATATTCTAATAGCTATGCTGTGAATCTATAAATATATAAACAGCTTTATTTGAGTGGATTGACCTGATCGATCCTGATTACCACAATTTGTAAAATTTTTCTAGCAAAATATTATGAAGAGGAAAAAAGAATGAAAAAGAAACATTTAGAATAGTAGACGAAGGTTACAATAAAATGATACAGAAAAATATATCAAGATGAGTAAGAAGAATTAATAGTGTTTTGTTGAATTGGTTGATTGTATGAGCTTTGGTTAACGAATTGCAATAGCTTGTCAAAATAGATGGAAGAATCTTAATAGAATTTGTTTAAGCGTTTGTTAGGTCGTCCTCTCGAGAGTGATTGAATACAAGTTTTTTCCATACAGTGTTCACATGTTTTGTTAACAATGGTGTCATTTATTGTATAACAAACAATGAATTCTTGTTCGTGTTGTTCTATATTTTTCAGTCGCCTCACTAGAGTCTTCGTATATATCTCTTTCAGTGTAGGAAGTAAGAATTTTTCATGAAGATCTCTAGTGGGGCTTTCAAATATATGATATATCATTCGTAGACATCGTCTATAAAAACTATTGATTTTCTCTTTTAATGAATTTTAGAGAAGACAATAGATTGTTGACATAGTGTTTAGATGCGGTCAGATGTATGTATTAAAGAATAATAATTTGAGTTTATAAAAGGTTGAGAATTGTCTACGGAAGTGATGTTTTTGAAGGAAAGTCTAGAGTTTAAATGATACCCTAGATATTTGAAGACTTTGGTCGATTCTTTCAGAGTACCTTTATAATTTATATTTAACTTTGAATGATTAATAACCTTTGTGAAAACAACAAATTGAGTTTTACTGCTGTTAACGGGTTGATGCAGTTGTTTAGCATAGTTAAGAAGTTTTTCTAAATGTTTATTGATACATTGTTCGATATTAATAATTTGCTATTTGAAGTTGCAGTAAATATTTGAGACGTATATAGTTCCCAGATTGTCCACACCAAGGTGATTATGTTTAGATCGTTCAAAAATTTCCTGTAGATCGTAATGAGCGACAATATAAGTTATAGCTCCAAAAACGTTTCCTTGTGGAGCTCCTCATGCTCTATTGATGCTGTTTGAAAGGAGACTATTATGATCTAATAACCATTCTTCGATCTTTGAAATAGTTTGTTATCCATAATAAATATGAAATTATTGTGAATCTCGATATCCGAGTTACGGATATTATGATAACCTCTCCAAGACACCATGATTGCAACATCAACCCACCTTCCATCAATTCACATGTACTGTAGTTATTATTTTCTCTTGTGATCATCTCATATAAACTATTTTGGTACAAATATTTTCGTTCAACTTCTCATTCAAAATGCCAATCTCGTAGCTATCTTTAGTCTAAATTTTATAGAAATCACTTTAAAATAACTAAGATATTGTCTTCTTATTAAAAATATCTGTTGAAGTATAAATGCTGGTTTATAGTAAAATGAATCTTTTCCACAATCACTTTGATCAATTCATTTGAAAATTGTAGGTAGAAAGCGCCCATGAGTCGACGAGTCTGTTTTGAAAGCTTTACAGTCGCAGCATTGAATCAAGTCGAGTTAGCGCTACTACATGGATTCACTATCTTAGGACATGCTAACTATGTCTCGTGCTTTGATGATAATACAGTAGACATATGAGACTGCCTTTAATACCAGAAAAAAAGTAATAATAGCTGGTGGAATAGCAACATGACAAACAAAAAATTTTTTGAGTACACGTTTCTATCGAATATTTTTCACAAAGGACAGAAGATGTGCGAATCATAACTACAGTACATGTGAACTGGTGCTTGTGAACAGGATTTATTATGGCATGCATACACCAAAAATATCCGCTCACTATCATGAAGAATACTACTACTTCATGATGAACAGTGACTTTTGTCAAAGGATTGTATCTTCATTGACTATAGACTTGATTTTCATAAAAATTTACAAAGTTTTTTGGTATTAAAAAACAAACTATTAAGAAAATAATCTTCAGGAAACAAAAACATCTACATCATACAATGATACATAATTAATCTCTAAAATTTCATATAACAATTAAAAAAGTCATGAATTACAATACTTTCACAATGATCAATCTTTGGAATATTTTGATCCAATGAAAAAAAAAACCAAAAATATTAGTTTCAATTAATTAAAAAGGTGTAATATATAAGTAAAAAAAAAAATATAATAAAGTTTTCATTTTATCCTTAATGACAATGGTCATTATAATCAATAACAGATGAACGACGCCAACCAAATAGAAAATGGCCTAAACCAGCACCAAGTATAATAGCAAGAAATAAATATATATTAAATGTCATAGCTATAAGCATTAATAAATAACTTAATGCCATTTGAATAATATGTAAAACTGTTTGAATTGCATGTGAAACACTCAATAAACGAGCTCTAAAGAAAAAAAACAATCATATCAAATGATTAAAAATAAATAAATAACTATTTATAATCAATCATTTCTCACCGATTTATTTGACGATTTTCAATTCTAATAGGCGATACTATATCATTTGCATTAAATCTTTCGTCTTGCTGATCATCTGGACGAATACTACAGCAGCAATTATAAATTACAATTTATTTTTTATTTTAAAGCAAAATTTTTTTTTTTTTTTTTTTTTTTGTAAAATAATTTTCATAAGCAATTAAACAATTATAAATATTTAATAGCATTAATTTATTTTTTGATTTAAATAAAAATAAATACAATTAAACTTACAGTGTTTGTTGACGATTTCCTGTTTGAGTACATGTTTCACATACATCACGTCTAGCTAATGCATCTCGAAATGTTTTTAATGCTTCATAAAGTACAGCAACAAAAAATATTGCAAACCATGAAGCAGCAAATGCTTGAACGACAAAAAAAAATATTTTCTTTTTTTGGTATTGTAAAAATTAAATATAATGAATAATATTTACCACCAGTTGTTTGTGTATTCCATTGATTAAATAAAATCTGTTCTTTATAACCACCATGGAAAGTCATCTATTACAAACAACAATAGGAATAAATAAATTTAGATTTTATTTTTCGAAAAATCTTTAAATAATGGTGATATTAATGAATGACTTATTGTGAATAAACATATAAGAAAGATTGAAAATGAGACTCACTATATGGTAGTAGTACAACTTTTGTAGAATCAGTTACAATAGTTTATACTCTATTGAAAGATAAATTTTAAAAATAAGAGTTCTATAGAAGTTTCTCAAATCGATCATGATACTAGAAAATATTTTCACTTAAATTGAAATGAAATCAACCTTATATTTCTGTTCGTGTGTGGTTTTCGCAATGAAAAGAAAAGAATAATTAATCTGTTTGTTTTTCTTTCATATACGATCAATTTCCTTAGAGACCATATTGAATCTTATAATATTTATAAAAAACAAAGGTTCATTTGCTTGATGAATATATTTCAATCGTTTTTCTCTAGAAGAATTTATTCAATTGTTTTTTATGAAAGTTTTCTAAACAATAAAAAAAAAACCCATTCTTGGTTAATATATCAATTTTAGAAGCATGAATCATCAATCTACATTTCTTATTCGAATCTTTTAACACTAAACGATTTAAGGGATACATATATTAAATGTCAAGATTTTATTTTTATTGATAATTTATGTGATTAAATTTAAAATAAGAAATCCTAAATTGATAAGAATTAAGTTATCGTATTATTTGATATTCCCCTTTCAATAAATTTTCTTTTTATCATTCAGTTTACAGTATATGAATTATAGAAATTTTCTTAAAGTTTGTTTTAATCTATTCTTCAATTTAATAATACGAACAAGTTTTGTAAAAAAAAAACAAAATATATTCAAAAGTTTTTATCAATTGAAAGATTTTTTTTTGTTTTCATATGAAATTTCCATAGATGAACATTAGCAATCATGAATTTTTTTCTTTTAATGTTTTCAAAGAAAAAAGAAAAGAAGAACTTCTTTATATTTTCTTTTCTACATTGTAATCAAACACAAGCAAAATTCATACTCAGAATCATAAGAAGTTTTCTTTCTCATATATCACTATGACATGACAGAAATACGATTCATGAAAAAAAAAATTCACTTCATATTACACTCGATTAATTCTAATGTACAGTTATGTTTATTTTAATTACTCATTTGAATTTTGGGTGTTTTCGTTGAAAATTATTACGAATGAAAAAAATCAATTCAATTTGTCAACATCTACAGATTTGAGACGTTTGTCTTAGTCAAAAAAAAAAATACTTTCGACAAAATATTTTTCGATTACAAACATACATATCAATTCATCTTATTGAATTTTCATTCTATTTTATATTAAAACTTATACTCACTGCCATCATCATCATATCATTCATGTGAAGTCCATGACCAGCTTGCATTGCGCCTGTATCAGTTGAATGATTCATCATCATATGATGATCATGGTTCATTGATGCAGTTGTATTAGCCATCATAGCTGCATGATCATGAACATGATTCATGATGAATTCTACAAAATAAAAAAAAAAGAAAGAACAGTTGTTGTTGCTGTTTTTTTTTCTTCTTTATTTGAAGTCAAATAAAATGTTTTTATTTTCTATATTATATAGATAAAATGATAGACGAATACGAAAAAAAAAATATAAAAAGTGCATTAGAAGAACGCATCAAACCTGATGATAATAGTTGCTTTTTTTTATCATTGTCGCTTTTGGAATTAAGTTTAAAATAGATAAAAAAAGAAATTAAGGTCACAATAACGTAACATTTTCGACGATAATCTCGAAAATTTGGCATAAATAAAAAAACAAACTATTGATAATTCATAGACAGATTATAGTTGATATTTATCATGATATGTAATAGAAAATATTCTATACATTTTTTATTTATATTTTTAATTAAATACCATAAAGTTGACAAACCAATGAAAGAATAGAAAGTGTTGTCGCTCGTAGACGGTTAATGTTGATATTTTTAAATTGTTTTGTCAAGAACGAAAAAAAAAAAAGAAAGACAAAATTATAAATGTCTTTTTCGAAAGGTTTTACAGCTAAAATATATAGTCAATACTTTTTTTATGACTAGTGTGTCGGATTTAGAATTTTGGTGAATAGGAGGGATCATGGTCACAAAAGGCGGTTTTAAGTCAAATTAAATGCTGTATCGGCTTGTTTTTTGGGGGTGTTTTCTGCTGAGAAAAATTGAAAAAGATTTCTTCAATTAACTAACCTCTTAAGAGAAATTTCATTTATTATTATTATTATTATTTTGATTATTGTCAAATAATTTTGAAAGACAACTTGTTCATATCTACTGCATACGAATATATTTATAATTTATCTTGCTGTCATAAATAAAAATTCTATATCAAAATTCATCAAATATTACATGCAAAAAAAATTTTAATTAAATTTTCTTTTTATTTTTGAATTATATTCAAAACGAGAATATATATATATGTGTCAGCAAAATTCTCTACATAAACAAGAAATTAATCGTTAAATAATTTTATATCAGTTTATATTAATCTCAATTCTATGATTACAATATCTAGCCAAATAAACTTTCTATTGAACTATAGTTAAATTTGACTGAAAAACAAAAAACATTTATTTCTATTTTATTTAATGAATTGTTAACATTCTTGCTTTTTTTTTTCTTTCTTATTCCATATAGATTTGAATGAATCAACTAAAAAATTTATGATCTCTTGCTTTTTTTTCCTATGATTATCTACAGTACACTGTGTGAGTTATGTTCAGTGTCCTCGCGTCGTTCATCGGAAGTGACTGATGGCAAACATTTGTATATATATATTTAGATGAATACAATAGAGAAAAAAAAACGTGAGAAATTAGAAAATGTCAAGTCTCTAGTGAGAGAGACACTAGCTCCTTTCTTTTCTTTTACTCTATTTCTACCTAAATCAATTTTTTTGGTCTTAGACAAAAAAAATAACTAATGCAGCCGGATAAGAAAGAAAACGAGAGAAGAAGAAAAAAAAAAACGTAGAAAACATATTTACCGAATGAGATCGATTCATGTGGATATGTTTATGGAAAAGTAAAGTAAAATAAAAAAAAAAAGAAAAGTATTCTCTCTCTTTTTTTTTCGGCGTGAATTAATTAAATTGGTTTTTTTCTTCTTTATTTTTGTATTTCTGTTTTTGAATGTATGTGTAAATTGAGAAAAATAAGAAAAGCAATATGTTAACATATCAAGATCCATCAATGAATATTGATAATATTCATCGAAATGATATATCAATTCTTCGTGATGATAATTATCCACAAAAACAAACTCAAAATGAACTTAATGAATTAGAAATATCTAAAACACAACGTTTAATTAAAAAAGCAGCAAAATTTTTATTTTCACATATTGGTTTAGTTGGTCTTTTTGTTATATATTCTATTGCTGGTGGATTTTTATTTGAATTACTTGAACAACATCAAGAAAAATTAAATTGTCAAGAAGCACAAGGTGAACATACAATTCAAATAACTAAACTTAAACAAAAACTTGTTGCTTATATACAATATAATATATCATCAACATCAACAACAACAACATTAACATATTCAACTGAAAAAGATAATACAACAGTTGCATATGCAAAAATTGGTTCAATGTTATATGATTATCGAGATTTTGTTATAACAACTGGTTTAAAATATCGTTATTATGGAGATGATTGTTCTATTGTTAATAAATGGACATATCCAAATTCTTTACTTTTTGCAATAACAATTATTACAACAATTGGTTATGGAAATATAACGTAAGAGCAAAAAGAATAACTTTAACTAATTAATGTTTTTTTTTTTTTTTTTTTTTTTGTTTTCTTCTATTTAGACCAATGACATGTAAGAACAATTTTATTTTTTGTTAAATAATTTTTAAATATTAAATATTTCCTAGGGGAAGGTCAAATATGTTGTATATGTTATGCAACAATTGGTATGATGAATAGAAATAATATTCTTCGCTTATTGATTTTTGTTTTTTTTCTCTCCTCTTTTAGGTATTCCAATATTTCTTTTATGTGTTGCAAATATAAGTGGTGTTCTTGGAGAAATGTTTCGTTTATTATATTCAAAAATTCTTTGTAAACCATGTCATATGATAAAAAAACGACGTGCAATAGCACGTAAAACAAAACTTGAAGAAGAAAGTGGAATGAATATTGATCGTATGAATACTGGTGGTTGGACAATTCATGATAATAATAATAATAATAATAATAATTCAACTAAAAAATCAAAAAATAATACAATGAATGAAACAGATATATATGATGAAGAACAATTACATAGTCAACGAGTTACTGTACCATTAACAATAACAATGTTAATTATTGCTGCATATATATGGTTTGGTTCATTGATATTTCATAGTTTTGAACAATGGTCTATGACACAAGCAGGATATTTTTGTTTTATTACATTAGGTATAAATAATATGAAATTTAATAGAGAAAAAAAAAATCATTAAAAATTGCCTTCTGTTTTCTTTTATAGCAACAATTGGATTTGGTGATTTTGTATGTAATATGAATTTCTTTTTTTTTGTTTTTGTTTATTTTCCTCTTGCTTTTGCAATGACATACTTTTAATTTATTGTTGTGTTACACCCTCTGATCCAAGCGATTCGAAAGGATTGATCCATCTAGTAGAAAAAATTTAAGCAAGAAAAGAAATATTAAAAAGCGTACATCTTCTCAAGTAATACTAGGTCAAGCATCGAAGGTCTTTTTGTAGTCGCGATAGATAGTATTATTTTGATTTTGGTGATAGAACATTAGCCTGTTTCAATGGTATATCCAATCGCATATTCGATTCATTATCACACTTTTGCATTATACCAATTGATGCTCTTTTGGTAGTCATAATATTTGGACTAAGTAGTTTCCGTCTTATCTTGAATAAATTAAATTGCTTTACCTTTGATTTTAAGTTTTCCTTCTAGTGATTTAAGAGCAGCTTGTATTTCTTGAGTCTTGTATTCTCATGCGTCTAGTTGTCTGTTCAACAAATTAACTCAATGTTTATTCTCAGAATCTCGTTCGAAAATTTCGTCTTCGAAGGACTCGAGAGAGACATGAGTTTTCTCATCTTCATCTTCCATTTTCTTAAGAAATGTCTGCATATTGAACGGATTTTTTATATGCGACTGCTAAGCTAAAAGCAATAAAAAATCTACATGCGGATGAACTACTAAAGGTGTTGAATAGGATGTTTGAAGTGAAGCGTGCAAGTAATAGCAGTGCAATAATCTTTAACGACAAGACACTTTGAGTTGTTCGCACGATGGACTTCACTACAATGAATACATTCGGGTATCCTCCTAAACAGTAATGATCTTCTAAGGTCAGCACACTTCTCGTCATAGATTTTGCATGTTACTAGATCATGTTGAGAGCACAGAAAGATTTTAATGTTGTTTGTTTTTAAATTTCATTGTCATTGATCGATTTCAATATTGTTATTCATTTATAAAATTTTAATTGTGAGAAGTAAAAAGTTTTCTATAACAAAAACAAAATTAATATTTTAGGTACCTGGTCAAAGAAAAGATGATCCAAATGCCGGTGCTAAACTTTTTCTTGGAGCTATATATGTATTCATTGGTATGGCAATATTAGCTATGTGTTTTGATTTAATGCAAGAAGAAATTGTGGCAAAATTTCGTTGGCTTGGTCGTAAAATTGGTATTATTGAAAAAGAAGAAGAAGAAGAAGAAGAAATGATTATTAATCAAAAGAATAGAGGATTTGATTATCATAAAAATCGATCAAAGACATCATCAATTACTGATTCTAATCCAACAATAAATATAAATGATAAAATGAATGATGATGAAAATGAAAATGAATGGTCAACACAAAGTAATTCAAGTAGAACACGTAAATTTAGTCCTCGTAATAGTAATATTGCTCGTGTTCATCCACTAACAACAGATTCAAATGAAGGAACACTTCATCAACGAGCACCTACTACAAAAATAAATTAACAATTTTTAAAAACTTAACTTTTTTTTTTTTTTTCTTCCTGAAAAATAGTTCCTTATATATACATATGTATTGTATTTTATCATTGCTTCACTTTATCTTATGTCAAATAAAAATATAACTTATATTTCTCTATTTAAATATTTTCATTTATGAGAAATTAAAGTAATGATCGATCGGAATAATGAAATATTGATAGAAAAGACAATATTATCATGTTATAGTTTATAAAGAATACCATCGTGATAATAACATTTATTCTATTATCAAATATCTTTGTTTTAGTAGTTTAAAAAAAAAATTAAACGTTTACTTTTATTAATTCAAAAACAGACATAGAGAATATTAGAATAACAACATATGTGAAAAAAAGTACATGAGATAATTGACGTTGGAGGACATCATAAATTCCAATTTCCAGAAAATTTAGTCCATGTGATAATTACCGAGAAATTACTGTTAGTTGTTTTTTTCTTGAAAGTGTTGTATCATAAGGTACTGCTGATATATCTCAGCCGTCTGTACTAACCACAAATAGATGACACTACACAAGCTTTCATTAATAATATATATTCTGAAACTGTTTTCTTCTCAGTTAATTTGAATTTTTTCTAATAAATAATTCAAATTTGAATAGAAAAAACTTTCTACAACTGTTTATAGCTGAAGTCGCAAGTGCAATCGTCGGTTTTTATAAGCGATGTAGTAATTCAATCAAATGTGCGATATGAGAAGTTTCTATACATCATTATCTAGTGAATGATATAAACTAAAGAACACTACTGCAAGAATTTTGATTAAATACTGATGACGTAGAGTTAAAATTCATTTCTACACATTCAATTGAAAGAATACAACCTCTAGTTAAGCATTGAGTTGGTCTGGAAAATTTATTTTATTATGAAAAGTGTATAGAATTGAATTGTATATTTCTAGGTTTGAGTTGAATCAAGTAATTCATTTTAAAGTGAAAAGTATATTGAGTGTGAGGACGGAGGTGAGATGTGTAGGTATCATTGAGAGTGTGAAAGGTAGAGTGTAAATGAGTGAAGAAAAGAGTGTTACCTATACAAATACTTTCACCGATACTCAACTTTGGTCGAAGAAAGTTTTCTGACTTTAGTCTAAAATGGTAGACATTTAAAGTATTTTGTAGAAATGTCTAATGATGATCCTATCAGTGATTTTAAACCTTTGAACTTATATTTTGTCCATAAGTAGAGCACATCTAAATTAGTACAATCTCTAAAAAAGTCTCCTATTTCTTGAGGTTTGACCAAGATATGAATGTTTCAAAACGCAGAATTTTTATAAAATAATTTTACCAAAAAAATGAAAAACACTTGTCTATTGAAACATTTATACCTTGGTAAAATCTCAATAAATAGAAGAATTTTTCCGCAATTGTACTAGTTTAAATGTCCTCTACTAATGAGCAACTTCATTACGTGTTTCTAGAAAATGCTCCAAATTTCTGCCGTTGTAGGTAAAAGTCGAAAGACTTTTTCGATCAAACCTATCTTAAAATCATTTTCCACTTGACTAGCATGACAAAAAAATAGATAAAAGATATTTCTTCCTAAAATGTTTGTGTATGCTCATTAGTGGTAAAGCCAGGATCAGAGATAGAGGCATAAGCTCCTCTAACGAACCTTAAAGCCACTCATAATGAAGTTTTTAAAAGATGTATTCAAAAGTCTTGCCAGAATAACTGAACCCTCTGCCCCCTCTTCGGCTCCGTCATTGATGTCCGTGGATGTACTTTGATATTGACTTAAATATGAATCATTTCATGACGAATTTTGTAATCTTTTTTATTTTATTTATCAACTCATTTATAAGTTTATAAAAAGATATGATAAGCAAAAAAAAGAAATGAAACAGCATATTCTAGTCTAGTACGATAAATCGATAAATAACCACAACAACAAAAAAAATACATATATTTATTAATTCGCTTTTATTGTTGTTGGATATTTTTTTGTAGGCAATGTTTGATGATGTGAAACAGATGTTCTAGCATCACTTTGAAGTTCGTCAATAAGTGTATAAAATGAATTAACAAACCATGGTGCACCATCACGTACTTTTTCTCGTATAATATTTCCACCAAAACCAATAAAACCATCAGCATCTGCTTCCATATCAGTAGCACCATCACCAATCATAATTAAACGTTGATAACCATATTGATTTTTAAGATATTCAACAACACGTCCTTTACCACCCGAATCAGATGTCATTTCATCTTCATCAAAACCAACATATGTTCCATCATCATTAAATAATAATTGATTAGCAAAAACATTTTTTAATGGAATATTTAAGTTTTTAGCAACAGGATCAACTATAGAATGAAAACCACCGGTGATTAAATAGACAGGAATTTTTTGTTCATGTAATAAATTAATAAGTTCAGCAATACCATCTGTTAATTGTGGTGGATGATTTATAAGAAATTGTTCTAAACGTTGACATGTTGGTTGTATAAGATTAAGACGTGCTTGTAATGCTTTACGAAAACTCATATTACCACCCATAGCATTTCTTGTTATAGCTTCAACTAAAGCACCAACTTGTTGAAATTTTGCTAATTCATCAATAGCTTCTTCGACACATACTGTTGAATCAACATCAAAACAAACACAATCTGTTGTTGACCATAATTGACGAATAAAATCTTGTTTATTTGATGTATTTACATTTGACGTACTAGTCAAGTTTGAAGCAGACAGACCTTTAGTCATTTAATATTTTACTGACAAAGATATAAAAATAGCTAAAATATGAAAAAATACACATATATATTATTTGTTACTCATGCCTTTTATATGCAAACATTTTGTTTTGCGCGCATCTCATCTGTCGGTACGAATGCGCAGGCGCGTGAAACTATGAAAAACAAAAAAGATAAGTAAGTCTTGTGAATAACATATCTTCAACTCATGATTTCGGCAAATGGGAGAGAAGAGATAAAGGAAAAACATGTGCTTACTTTAATGCTTCAATCATTATGATCGTGTCACTATCTAGTTATTATTTTGCGTCGTTCGTTCGTGTCCTATTTGATAAAGAAAAAACATCATTGTGACCTTCAATATATTATTGTTCGTAACGTCTAACGAAAACACTTTTGTGGTTGGTGAGGGCATTGTAATGATAAGAGCGCAACTATTTGCATATAGATGTGCAAAGAGCAAAAATACATTTTACATATTTATTAATATGTGATTGAAATATGTTCAACTTTGAAATTTCATTTCAAAAACAATAGTTATTTATTTTGTATACATGCGAAATGTATTTCAAAATAATAAATTTATTTTTATTTGATTTTTTTTATCAAGTGACTTAGATGACTATGCAACAATATAAACTTTCTCATCATCTAAAACACATGTGATGTTATTCTACACGAACGGCGTAAATTATTTTTATCTTTTGTCGCTCTTTGATCCTCACAACGACGAAATAGCTTTTACGTCGTTAAATAACTAATGATGTCATTGTGAGGGGGCGTGGCCCCTCATTTTCAAAAAATTTTCAGTTTATTTTTTTAACTAAAATCATATTTTTTATTATATTAAGAAGAAAGTTCAAAATATAAAATCAATATATTATATTCTTTTAAAAAGGATACACATTATAATTAGTATTTGAGTAGAATAGAGATAATCATTTCTAACATTATCAGATAAAAAAAAAGAAACCACAATAAAATTTAATTGATTCAATTTAATTAAAATAATTTTTTTCTTTTTTTTTTAATTAATAAGCTCAATCTATTTAAACCCTTGATAAATCATCATTCAATAAAAAAAATATATTTAATTTTTTTTTCTTCTACTAATCACATGTATCCAACACGTGGAAGTTAATAAAAAGAAAAAAAAATCTAGACGAAAATGAAAATGTTCATTCATACCATATTTGAACATGTATCAAGATGATTACTCATCGATAACATCCGATTTAGATACTCATAGTATTCAAGTAGTTTAAAATATTTCTATTTATTAATTTTAATCAAAAATAATTCGTTTCTTTTTTCTTTTACAAAAGATTTATCTCAGTGTATTCTTTGCACATAATAAACTTGGAGCTGCATTTTATGATTCAACTTCAGCAATTATTTATTTTATTCCAGATGTTGAAGAAACATCACGTTTTGATATTACTCAACAGAGTAAGATATTTATAAGAAAAATAATAAGAAAAAAAAAACAATTTTTGTTTTTATTAAATAAAATAACAAAGACAACAAAAAAAACATCATTTAGTTCTAGCTGATATTCAACCATCAATGGTTATTTGTTCAGCTAAAACAAGTGATGAATATTATAAAGCTTTAAATGAACATCTTAATATTCAAATAAGTAAATAATTATAAATTCTTTTTCTATTAGAATAATCTTATATTTTTCTAGTTGATCCAAATAATACTTCAACAAATACGAAATTACAACTTATACCTCAAGCTTATTTTCGTATATATATATATATATATCCCGAGCAAAGAAATTATTTTAGTCGATTTTTTAAAAATATATTGTCATTAAAAAAAAATATTCTGAAAGGGTTGGATGGAAAATATTTTAACTTGTGTATCAAATTTAGATTTGAATCATCGTTTGAAGAGAAATGCTAAGTTTGTCAGAGAAGACTGAATGAGAAAAAATTCAAGACTCGAAGTTTAGCAATTAGGTGATCGCTACATGACTTTTCTTTCGAAGCATATATAGAAATATCATATATTGATCTTTGAGAAATCTAACAGATATAAATGGCTATAACATGTTTTTTCTTCCTAAAGATTTGGAAAAACCTGAGTACAAAAAGAAAAATAAATGTATTTTGAACCGGATTAGTTGAAAAACTCTCAATCGGTTACAACTCTGAGACATTCTCATCGTCAGATTTGCATGAATTGAATTTAATCACTGTCTTATTAATTAGTTTTCTTGCAAAAAAAAAGATGATTAGATATTCTGTTACGACTTGAAATTTTCTATTAGCTTATATATTTATCTCTTCTCTTGCATTTAAGTTCTAATGAATAATGAGAGTATTAAGTAGAGATGTTCATTGAGAAACCTTTCAAAACTTTTTCTTTTAATGATCACTTTCATTTTTTATTTCAAGTTTGTTATTCTTGTAAAAAAAGAAACGAAACAAAGAAATAATCGAAACATCGAGGTTTTTAGACTTTTTCAACTACAGCGCGTATGTAATACTCAGTGTATTCATTAGAACAAAAATATAAGATATCTGAGGTAGTTTAGGAAACGGCATTCTGTGATTGGATAGATATTATAACATTTCGACACCATTTATCAGATGCAATTTCTTACTATTTTCTGCTTCTTTACCTAGAATGGCAACACTATATAGAATAATAGAGAATTTCAAGCTCTATCAGAACATCTGATCACTTTTATTAAAAAAGAATTATTCTTATATAAACTCTATATTGTCGAGATGTTGTGAAAATCTGACGATGAGCGTACCTTTATTGCAATAGATTTATCTTTCATCCAGTAGTTGCAAATTAAAACATAAATATACAAAATGATAGAAAACTCTCAATGCTTTCAGAATATCTTTTAATATGCTTTTATAGTGACATATATTTAAGTAATCGACTAAAACTATTTTTTCTTTCGGGTGTAAATAAATGCATTTTTTTTTAATGTTTAAATTAGATAAAGATACTGTTGAAAGAACAATTCTTACACTTAAATCACTTTATCCATTAACATGTGATACTGATGAAAAAAAACGAGCTTATATTTCAGCAAAAATGCCTTTTAATATACCAAATACTGTTAGTTTATTTGAATTTTTCTTTGTTTTATTTAAATAACAAAAATAAAAACAAAAAAATCATGTTTATTTAGTTAAGTGCTATTGGTGGTCTTTTACCAATTATTGAAGAACGATGTCCAGCTTTATCATATGAATTTGATTTTCTTGCTGGAAATATTCTTGCTTTACGTCCTTATGATCTGTAAGAATCTCAACAAATGATTAATGAAAATTTTGTTGCTTTTGTTTTTTCAGTAATGCTTTAATGATAGTACATCCATTTACTTTTCGGTATGAAAAAATAAAAAAAAAAATTTATTCTTTTTTCTCTTAATTGTCTAAGTTTCTTTTTATGTGTAGTGCTTTGGAAATTTTTAATCCTAGTTTTCATCCATCAATATATAAAGCTAATACAACAAATAATCTTCGAGAAGTCAATAGTCTTTTTGGTAATAATCGATGATTAATTTTTTTTTGAATAATATGTCTGTCTTTTTTTTTTTTTTATCGAAGCTTTTTTAAAACGATGTGTATCATCGATTGGAAATCGTAAATTGAGGTAAAATTTTATAAGTTTTTTTTTTTTTGAGATTTATAGAATTTTTATTATTATAATTAGATCATGGTGTCTTAAACCATGTCGATCACCAGAAATATTACAACGTCGATATGATGTTATACAATTTTTTCTTGATCCAAATCAATATGAATTATTACGAACATTACGTGATCATTTAAAATCAATTGTTAATATTCCAGTAAATAAATAATCTTTTCTTTATAAAAAAAAAAGAAAATTTATTTTATTATAAATAGTCTTTACTTCGAAAAGTATTTGATCAAAATACAAAAATAGCTGTATGGAAACAAATTATTGAAGTATGAATATTTTTCTTTTTATTAAGTTGAAAAAAAAAGAAAAATTTTATTTTAGTCAATGCGAGCAACACTTCGAATTCGTATGACTTTAATACCATTTCGAATGAATACATATTTTTTTGATGATTTTTGTGCAAAACTTACCGATGATTTACCAAGATTAATGAATATTATTGAAACAAGTGTATGTAAAAGAAAAATTAAAATTTAATTCTCAAAGATAAAGATTGTATAATATTCAAATAAGAAGTTCATACAAGATGCAATGACTCTCTTCGGATATTGAAATAATTTCCATTTAGAAAACTTTTTTTGCTATTAATATATTCGCGATTATTCAAAAATATCAAATATTCGCGTTAGAATTGTGTAGTAGGAGACTTGCAAATCAACTATAACTTACTTTACTCTGCAGCATAGGATAGAGTTAGAACGAGAAAAATGTAGTATAGGGATATAGGTTTGATTAAGAAAATTTTTCTTATGAGGAAAATCCTCCAACTGATAAATCGCTTTGGAGTCAAGGCTATGTTCACTATGTAGATTCAAGTAATTTATGAACACCCTGAAAAGAGTTCGTGCCCTTAGGTTCTTGTTGTGGAGATACTAAACTTTTACGGAAATTTTTAAATGAATGCCGTAGTCCAGAAAAACTGATTTTCGAATTTCGACTTGAAATTTTACTTAAGAAAAGGCCTTAACGAGAGTAGTTTATTGTGAAAGTTTCAGGTCTTTTCATTTGTTTCTATTCTGTAAATCTGTTAGTTCATATAAGCAATGTAAAAGACATGCTATTACCATAATTGTATCTTAGGATATCTAAAACATTCACAAAAAAGCTATTTTCGTTAAGGCTTGTCTCTCAAATCGAAATTCAAAAATTAATTTTTCTGTTACCACGGTATTCATTTAAAAAATACCATAAAAGTACAATATCTTCGTATCCATTGACTAAGGGCACGAACTCTTCTCAGGATATTCATAGCTCATTTGGGTCTATGTAATGAACATAGTTTGGACTCAAAAGCAATTGATCAGTTAATATATCAAAAACCTCTAAAAATTTACCTTTATTAATATACGACGGCTATTCATATATAATTGACTGAAACAATGATACAAAAGTTCAGCCCTTTGCCTTGAAAGATATTTAAAGCAGATAATAGACTAGAATCAAGGGCGGATTTAGAGAGGCGATCGTCCCTTCGTTCCGAACTATTTTTCGAGTCTTCCCAGAAGAAAATGCTCAAAAATGAACCAATACTATCCCCTAATTTGACTTGAAAACATACTCTATGGCTATAATTGTTCCTATTCACCAAAATTCTAGCTCTACCACTGACTAAAATTTGCCTTGTGAATTCATTACATTTACAAAAATTTCGCAAAATCATTCAAAATAAAAAAAGATCTCATTGGATTAGTTTTTCTTTGCTTATTTTTTTAATATATAGATTGATTTACAACGAAGTATACGTGATAATCGTATTGTATTTATTGATCCAAATGATCCAGATCTTGAACAATGTATGTGTTACTTATTGAACTGATTCAAAAATTTTCTATTTATTTAAAATATAGTACGACAAGATCTTATTCAATTAAATGAAAAACTTCATCAACAAGCTGAATTTGCTAATAATCTTTTATTACAATGTGGATTTGAGTCAAGTTATGCATTAACTCAAGTATGTTCAAACAAAATTTTGTATTCATTATATTGAGAGAACAAAAAAAGAAATGTCAATTTTCATAGGATAATGGAACTTTATTAATTAAAGGAGATAAATTTCATCATGATGATCTTATTTGGAATGATCGACAAGGACAAATATGGCGATGGTAGAAAAAAAAATTTCATTGATAAATTTTCTTTTTTTTTTTTTTTAAATTAAGTCGTACTCGTGAAATGAATGTAACAACACAAGAAGCTGAAGAAAAACGAAAACAATTACTAGCTAAAGAATTAGCTATTAAACGAAATCTTTCATTGGTAAGAAGATAGTTAATGTCTTTAATTTTAACAAAGTCTATTTTGTTTATTAGGCTTTACGTGATGGTGCTGAATTATTCGTTGATGCAACTGAATTTTGTTCACAACTTGATTGGTAACAAATTTTTGTTTTTTTTTGCATTATTTCAAAATTCATTTAGTTTACTTTCATTTGCATTAATTGCTTATGAACAAAATAATTATACACGACCTGAATTAATAGTCAATAATCGAATTGAAATTATCGATGGAAAGTTAGTATATTAAATTCAAAGAAATTATCTTCAAGGAAAATTTTTTTTTTATCTTCATAATTTATTCGAAGTTTTCATATATATATGTTCTTGTTTATTAGACATCCATTATTACCAATTACAACAGTTGTTCCAAATAGTTATATAAGTGATGCAAATTCTAATCAAGCTAATATACATATTCTAACTGGTTTTAATTGTTCTGGAAAGACTATTTATATAAAACAAGTAAGAAAATTAAAGAATAAAGATTTTCTTTTTCTTTTTTTTATTTTGTATTTAGATTGGATTACTTGTTTATATGGCACAAATTGGTAAGTTATACTTTATAATTATATATATATAAAGATGAGTTCTGATTCATTTTGTATAATAAAAACACACAGATACCTGAGAATGCTTCCTCATAAGTGTGATTGAATTAATCAATTCGCATTATAAAGCGACTATTGTTGTTCTTAGGTAACAGCAATAAATACGAACAAAAAAAAAATTTCAATTAACGTTAGACGCGGTGTACATCTCTGCAAAGGGATAAATTGCTTTTAAATATGATAGATTGATAACTTTCTTACTGTATGAGTTAGAGAGATCTATTTTATAATGATTTTGAAGAGCATATTTTACTGTATTTGTTCTCTATAAAGACAGTTTTAGAAGAATATTTTGTTATACAAAATGAGTTAGGACTTTAGGACTATTATCCTATATATGTATATTTTATTGATGATTAAAGGTTGTTTTGTACCAGCTAATAAAATGCGACTTGGTTTAATGGATAAATTATTTGTTAAAATTCATACCGGTATGCGTTCATATTTTTGAAATGATTGTTGTTTTTTTTCTGTCAAAATATATCTATATAGATACTCATCTGACTATGGGTGTATCAAACTTTTTGCGTGATTTATTTGAAACATCATTTGCTGTTGCTGGTGCTACTGGTCGATCATTAGTATTGATGGATGAATTTGGTATTGGTACAAATGAGGTATAAGATTTTTATTGAAACGAATAAGAAAAAAAAAACATGTTTTTTCAAATATTTTATAGATTGATGGTACAGCATTATTAGCTTCACTTATAACAATATGGTCTAAATCAGAACAAGCATGTCCACATGTTATAATTTCTACTCATTTTCATGATCTTATTCAACAACGTCTTGTATCAATAAGTTCAAGAATTCGTTGTAAAGTAAAAGATTCTTGATGTTTTTTCTTCTATGATATGTTTAATCTTCTAGACTATGGAAACAATGTATGATGATGATGGAAAACTTGTATATTTATATCGAATTATTGATGGTTTATGTACACGTAGTCAAGCATTTAGTGCTGCATTAATTGTAGGTCTACCTGATAATGTTGTTCGACGTGCAAATGAGGTTTAATTTAGATTTCTTGATTTTTTTTTTTAATATAAAAATGAATTTGTTTTTTGTTTTGAGTTACTCGATAAAATTGAAAATAATCAAATACTTCATCCAATTCGAAATTTTACTGATATGGAAGAGTAATTCAATTGTTAATTCATTTTAATTAATATGTTTGTTTATTTTATTTTTTTTTTTCGAGAATGGTCGATCTTGTTGAAAAAGCAGTACAAGTTAATGTCAATGATAATAATCAAGTCATAAAATTTTTTCAATATCTACATCATATGATCTATAAACATATACCATGTCATAGAAATGAATAAAAAAAAAAAAGAAATAACCTTGTTGATCTCTTTCTATTCATAACTATTAGAAAAAAACATTTTCAATTATTTATGCAAGAATAAAAAAAGAAAATTAACATGTTAATTAATAATTATAGTTGCTTTTTTTTTCTTTTCGATTAATAAAATTCGACTATTCTACGAAAAATAAAAAAAAAAAAGAAATGATTATTTTTGTACAAAAATTATAATTGTTTGTTCTTGTTATTGTTGAAATTTACCTTGTAAACTGTCCTTAGGCAACAAAACTATTAATATATAAATGACAAACATTTGTAAATTATTTCAAAAATAAAACATCATTTAATTGAAATGATTTTTTTTTTATTACTATATATTTTTCTTATGTTAATAAAAGATTTTACATAGCTAAAAGCAAGTGATAAATAATAAATTCATTCTTATTATTATAAAGATATTTAATATTTCACATTATTTTCAACAAATATATTTATTATCTTCGAAATAAACATTATTAACAATTTCAAACAATATTTCGTGATGAAATCGATATATAATAAGAAGTTTTATACTTCTTATATCAATATTTTACAATTTTCTTTTGTATGTAGTCAATAAAAAATAAATAAATAAATCAAACGGGACATTTAATAAATAAAAGATGGATCCGTTGATGGTAGTGGTTATGATAATCCTGACGGATTTAGTTCCCTAGTCATCCGTGAACAAGCAGTAATATATTCATGAAAATCTAATGTACCTGTTTGATTTACATCAAAATTACGAAAAGCTATTTCAGCATCACGTACAAGAGCATCCCATGTCATATTTAATAATGATGCAATATAAAGTTTACGAAAACCCTCACGATCAATAACACCAAAAGGATTAGCATAAATTGTAAATTCAGTTCGTAATCGTTCAATATCAGCAATAGTCCAACCAGTTAAATTTGCAAGAAGCATATCGTTTTGATAAGATATTAGTGGATTTTGACCAGTTGGTAATGATAAAGATGATGGAACAGACTGTTGTGGCGTCGTCGGTCCACTTGGAAATGATGGTCGAACGTTTAGTTGTTGTGGAGGTGGACCCATTTGTGGTCGGTATTGAGCAGGTTGTTGTGGCATAAATTGTTGCTGTGGTGGCATAAATTGCTGCTGTGGTGGCATAAATTGTTGCTGTTGTGGCATAGGTTGTGGAACACCTGCATAACCAAAACCCGATTGTGGGGGTGCTTGAACAGAACCCTGTTTTTTATTGAATGTACTACCCATGTGATTTTATTCTTTTTAATATATTATAGGCACGTCTATTGTAATAATTATTTTTCAAAATTGATATACGCTTGTGTTTGTCATTTACGATACTATTTTCTATATCTCTCTTCTAACGCATAGTCCATACTAAAGAAACGACAATGAGGTATTTATGTGACTATTACACACATAGTACAAGGCGAAAATTAGTCATGTGAAACCATTCAAACGTAACCTTGTATTGCTTTCTTTCTTTCTTTCTTTCTTTCTTTCTTTTCTTTATATTTTTCTTTTTTGATGATACAAAATTATTCACGATTCATTCCAATCATCACGGACAAACATGTTTGATTTGTATATTATAAATATGGATGCATACTATACGTACAAATGTAAAGAGTAATCAAAAAATTTGTTAAATTAATCTATACGAACGGTTTATTTTACATACAAAAGATAAAATAAAAACTATATGTAAATATTAGTAATGAATTGTCATGCTCTTCTCGAAATAATTTGCAGACGTTATCGATGATTAATTGACTTATGTATTAAATATTTAATAATAGAAAATGATATTCATCATCAAAAGCATTAAAAAACTCTTTTTTTATATTTTACTATTGTTTTTCTTTGTTCATAAAAAACATTCATGATAAATCTTTGGTTACATACGGTTATGTATCTGATAGTATTTATGCTGCTTGTTGTTGAGCATATGATAAAAATTGCCGATATACCAACGATTTTTTTTCTTGATCCAAATTATAAGAATTTATATTGTTTTGTGAATTATTCCAATAGGATATTAAATTATTGATTGAATACTTTTGAATGAAACCAGAATGTTACATTCTTCATAAATGTAAACTAGATGGCATTTGAATTTCATTCGGTTGCGAAGCTTTAAATGTCAATTATTGCAAAAAAATCGACATTTTCTAAAAATGAATATAATCTTGTCTACGACTGATTATGAAATATTTTTCGCCAAAATATATTTACGTTTTATTGACATCAGGAATTTTTATTTTGTTGCTGTGGATCGGAAATTATAGAAAAAACCTCGCGAAGAAGAATATAAATACTGTGCTTCATGGCGTAGTAAGAAAGGGAAAAAAAACCCGGGTTGCCCGACATAAATATGTACTTTACATTGCATTAAAAATAAATCGATCGAAAATGCTTAAATGCATGAATAACTAAACACTATGCGAATGAAAAATAATGTTATTCTTCTTCTTCTTTGTTGTTTATTCTATTTTTACGTTAATGATTAATACGAGGAAGTAGCTAAAACAAATGTAAAAGATATTTGTTTGTTTTATTTTTCTTTTTTTTATGTTGAGAATCCATTCTTTCAACATATCATCATTTAATAAAGCAAATAATATTAATTTTTTTTTTATGCCTCGAGAGCCTGATTTCTAGAAAATAATTAGAAATCACGAATATATTTATATGTAAATAATGGATATAATTAAATCATCATTCATATCCTTTCATGAATTTTTCAATACATTATTAGTTATTGAATTATTCTGTAATCACAATATATTATTTCTTGATAAAATAATTAAATATATTATAAGATCTATGGCAATGGCAAAAAATTTTCATATATTTTATTGCATTTATTTTTGTTAAAAAAAAATGATACTATATGAAAAAAATAATGTGTGAAAATTCATAAAATAAATTACATTATCATGTAACTGCATCCATTTTTTCTAATTATTCGTTACATGCGTTATTATTTTCTTTTCTCATACTTTGAACGAAGAATTTCTATAATGTAGAAGAATAAAAGAACACATATCTTAATCATCCATTGCCTTGTGAAGTTCATATATAAAGCTAAGCTTTCTGTTTTTGACATACAGATTCCATAATATTCATTATTTTTAGATTCCATTCAGACTGTCATCTACAAATGTGTTTAGTTTGATCCAGGAATATGTTCGACCATATTGACTTTTGTTCTTTTTCATATACACTTATAAACATTTATTATTTTTTTCTATTCATATGAATCTCGCATACTATGATAAAAGGGAGACAATTTAGAGCATGCAGAAGAATGCAATATAATGTCGGCATATTGGTATTTATAACATAGATAGAAAGAAAGAAAGGGATATATGTAGAAGAAAAGAAAAAAAAAACCCAGACAGACAGAATAGTATAGTCGTACTATACACAGAGAAAGATTACTACCAGTCTTTTTTGCCTATCCAATCTTTGTACATTTAAGATAAGCATAAGTAATCAAGTAGTGATACATGGCAAGTATAGAAAAAAGCTCAAAAAAAAATATTGAAGCCAATCCACTCATTATACCGGACTCATACGAAGGTTATTCATTAAGTTATTTCAAGTAAATAAATTTTTTTTTTCTTTCTTTCTTTATTCTATAAATTATATAAAAATTCTATTTATTAGTTTACCATTACATTATCGTAATGATTTAAAATCTGTTTTAATTCCTTATGGATTTGTTCAAGATCGTATTGAAGCATTAGCTAGTCGAATTTTTGATGATTTACATATTGGTATGCCTGAACAACTTAGTAATTATATATTGTTGAATTTGTATAAAAGATAATTTAATTCATTTTTACTTTTTTTTAATGTTTAGTTTGTATGTGTGTACTCAAAGGTGGTTATCGATTTTTTTCGGATTTAGTTTCAAAAATTCAAAATGAAAATCGGTTTGTTTAAATTTTCTTTTCTTTTATTATTCAAGAATAAATATCTAATAATTTATTTTTTTTAGTCTTCGAAGTGATCGTAGTTTACCAATGAGTTTAGAATTTATTCGTACACGAAGTTATATTAATGATCAATCATCTGGTAGCCTTGAAATAATTGGTTTAGGTGATTTAAATAAAATTAAAAATAAAAATGTACTTATTATTGAAGATATTATTGATAGTGGTATTACAATGGTTACATTAAAAGAAGAACTTGAAAAATTTCACCCAAAAACTATTCGTGTTGCTTCATTAATAACAAAAAGACGTAAAGATAAAAAGTGTGTTTTTAAACCAGATTATTGTGGTTTTGAAGTACCTGATCATTTTGTTGTTGGTTATGCACTTGTGAGAAGAAAATATAAAATTTATTTATAATTATTATTTTTCTTTTTCTTTTTCTTTTCGATAGGATTACAATGAATATTTTCGTGATTTAGAACATATATGTATTTTAAAAGAATCTGGTGTTACAAAATATAAAGTTACTCCTTCTAATCAAGTTAAATAGAAAATTAAAGAATTTATGTACAACATTGATTTCATAAATAAACATAGTTTATCAAGAAATAAACAAGAAATGCAACAAATCATATGATGTCTTTGTAGTTCTTACCTTTAGTGTCCTTTTATGCTGCTAATTTTCTGTTTTTTATGTTTTTCTTTTCAAAGAGAATAAAAATAATTTTGATTTTTTTTTTGGAAAAAAACCTTCAATTTATCTATTGAGTTTAGAATAGGGCGTACTATGTAAATATAACTTGTAATAATGATAGAAATAAAAATTGTCTCTAGAAAGATATAGTATGAGTGAATTGAATCTTCTTCATCTATTATTCTTGCTTAAGGCTATTGTAGATTGCTTTTCCTCTTACTATACATTGTAATGAAATCAAAATAGGAAGATCAGAATTTTGCCTCGGATCGGACTCGAATTCTTCCTATGAACACTTGGTACACTCAATAGTGCTTAGTGATATGTATTTTCTTTAGAACGTAGTGCTTAGAATCAATACGCAATAAAAAGATCGAAAAATTGGCAGCATTTATGAAGAAACATTGATTAGTTACCATAGAGGTATCGCTTGATAGTTGTCTTGGATACTTCGCTTTTTTTTACGTTGGCACTTATTGCATACGAGTAACAGTTATCTGAAAAGACTACACCACTTCTAATAGGATCAAAATAGACTGTTCAGCACTATGTTCTGTTGAAAATGCATGCCGCTAAGCACTATGGAGTATAATAACTTGTTAAAGGATTTTGGATTTTCCGAGAAGTTAGTGAGAAAAATTTAGTCTGGACCGATATTCATATAACCCAAAAATTATATCTTTTTCTTTTCTGATGCAATTTTTTCTTCTATGATTAATATGTCATGCAGTGCAATGAAGTCTATACGATCTCGCCATATACTGATTATCTGAAAAGAACAATTTGTAATATAATCTTAAAGAAGAATGGGAGATCCAGGAAATTCAATTAACGTGCATTGTCTGTTAAACATAGAATAATAGTCGCATACATATCCGATTACTACTGCTTTGTGATATTGTTTTAATTATATACATGAAAGCAGTTAAAATGAAGAAAATCCTATCTTATAAAAATACCGTTACATCAAAAACTGGTAGAACATCGAATGAGGAAATAATCGAAAGCAAAATATTATAAGTTGAAGATGTGTCTAACCGAATCATACTATAACAATCATGATTATTACAATTTAATTGACTTTTTTTTCATGTGTTTGACATGCACAGACCTTAAGATGTGTTCATATCACATGACTTTCTTGCTCAAGATACTCACGAAGTTCATGAACATGAAAAAAAATTTTGATTAGGGTTTATGGGACGACCTGTGAATGACTAACTATGACAAGAGTACATTGTTAAGCTAGTCCATAGATATCACGAAAAATGACTCAATTGAAATCGATACTATAATTTCTTTGAATTGAAGCTTTGAAAACTATATCCTTGACTGGGCTGACGAGATAGACATTTGAAACTAATCAGAAAACGATTTTTCACGTCAAGCCAATTTAAACTTGACTTGATTTGCTCAGTTCTGCCGTGGAGAGACGATTCTCATTCTCATCTTCATGTTTACAATGAATAACTATAGATGATTAAAAGAAGGAAATCAAATTTTTCTTATAACAGCTAATAACCATGAGAAAATAAAGCAATAGTTCGCTTTTCCTTGTTCTCTGTAAATTCGTTATGAACGATGATACTAAAAGACTGGTAAAGCAAAATAATAATACTTTACAATAAATATTCTCTTATGCAATTATTCTCAGAAAATATTTTAGATTTCATTACGCATTCAAATTTTTATCAGATTCTTTGTTATATATATGACGTGACATGTCTTGTATGTATTGCGTATATTCTGACATGTTTCTTTTTAAATTTTTTCCAGTTCGTTCTACGTATTCTCTTTGAATCATACGAATCCACATTTTTTATCTTTCTCTCTTTTTCGTCAAATGAAATTATACGACTCAGTATTAATAGGATTATTTTGATAGGTTACAAAGTTTTTTCTGATTTAACTGGAATTTGTTCAAAAGTTCAAAATAAATTCCCATTCTTCTTCTTTTATCAAATGGCTTTGAGAAAAGACTTTCGTTTTGAAAATCGAAGAAAGTAGCAATTGCCATCTATTTCTTATAATACTGGGGGGAAGGCAATCGATATAATCGATTAGGTCATCAAGTTCGTTTCATAATTGTACTGAATGCAAATAAAGTAGAAGAGGATAAAAAGAACAATGTTACTTAAGAATAATTGTTGATATTTGATTAACAGTTTCATTCATTTGTTATGTATCCTTTTTATTATTATAATAATATAAAAATAAAGAAAATTTGTTTTTAAAAAACACTTTAATATTCTATTATCGATATTTGATATTTTTCTGTTTATCAATTTAAAACAAAAGAAAGATAAAACAATGGAAACAACTGTGATTGAAACAAGTACTGATTTTGCTTTGGATACAATCTAAAAATATAGTCAATTAATTATATTTCTATTTCATTTATTTTTTTCAAAAAAAATTTTTTATTCATTACCCTGTTTGCCGTATTTTAAAAAGTAAACGAAAATTTTGAATAAACATTTAAAATAATATTAAAGTAGATGAATATTGTTCAAATTATAAGATTTATATGAACGACTATTTCATTGATTATTGAAAAAATTTTAGAAGGATCTAAAATATTTGTTTAACAACAATAGATATTTATTCAAATTGATTGAATAATACAAAAATGACATGATTAGTGATGTTATTTCAATATAATCCATTCATATAAGAGGCATTACAAAAGTTTTTTCGTCTGCTTTTTAAAGATATATTCAAAGGGTAGTTCTAATGTTGTTTTCGAAAACATTGTACCGTCATCGTTGAATCGTATTTTATATAGCTGATAGTTGAGTTTTGAAAATACAAAAAAGTCATATGAGTTGAAGCTTATCGACTATACTATTTAGATATAATTCTATAGGATTTTCCGCTAAAAATTTCTGAATAATCGAGGATTTCCATGGCTACGCATTTCCAGATTGAAAACTGAGACATCAAAAACTTGCCTTCTATTTCCGTATTGATACTGTTGAAAAAATGGCGTCAAGCAGCTATAGTGAGGCTAAGTTTCGTTGACTAGATCCTCATGACATCAGATCTGTTTGCCTAAATTTTCATAAAAAATTTTACAAGATTCATTAGTCTGACTTATTGTTTTGATGAGCCTTAATTATTCGTGGATTAGTTTGTGATGCTCCAACTTTCGACTTTGATGCTATATATTTATCATAATGATAGATATATTATTTACCACTACTGACAATGTAGAAAGGAACGTGAACTTCAACTGAATATGAAACTGCTTACAGTTATCAATAAGCGCTGAAGACACATTCATCGAGAATGCTGAAATTTCGTATATGATTCTAAATATGTCTATTTGTTATCATAGAATGATTGCAATCAAATTATATCTTTTAGGAGAGTTGAGCGATAAAAACTTTTGTAGTGCTCTATGTAGTTTGAATATATAACTAAAACAAGAGTCGATCTAATTCGTCGGTGAGAATGCATTATGATGAGCAGATCTATTTTCAATTCTTTTTAGAAAATTAAAGATTTTTCTGTCATCACAACTATTAATAAAATCGATTAAAAGAACTCAAATACTAAAATCTTAATAAGTTGGTTTTTTTCTTCTATAGTTATGCAACATTAGAATAATCATTTTTAATTTGGAATTTAGCATTAACCGACGTTATACGATCAATAGCAGCTCCATTAATATTTACATTTTTATCACGTACTAAAAATGATTCAGATTATTCTTCTAATCATGAAACATTATCATATACATTTATTGTTGAAAATTCATTTTTTTTCTGGTTTAGTTCTTTTTCGATGACTTTATTATTCAGATTTTTTTCCATTCATATATCAATAATTCAATTTTAATTTATAATCTTTTTGTATTTTCACCATATATACATATATATTATGTCAATTATGGTCTAAAATACATTTTCATGATTTATTAAAAAATTCAAATAATAATAAAACATTGGTTATTTTTTTTTAACTATATACGATTTTTTGATCGTGTAAATTCACAACAAATGTCATATATTTATTTATTATTTATATTTAGTTCATTTACCACAACAATATCTGTTTTTCTACATACAGTAAAATTTAAAGGTTATATCGGTCCACGTACATCTTATATTATTTATATGATATCGTATTTATCAACATGAATTTTATTCTTTTATAAAAATTCGAGATATTTTTTTTTATTTCTTATGGCCTTACATTATACGTTTTAATTGGTGTTATATTAAATTTTCAGTCACTTTATTATCACCATATACATATCAAATATACCTACTTTTTTTATTTAATGCATATAACTTTCATATGATTCCATTATTATTTGTTTATATATTAAGAGAAAAAAATCGTCAACAGTTTTTTGTTTTCTTTTCCTATAATAACATTGACTATTCGAATGTTACGCTTGACTTCTTTCACATGTGTCTTTTACATACCAGTATTCATTCATTTCTTTTTCAAAATGAGAGCTATACGTAGATTTTTTATGTTGATGATTGTATTGAATATATGCATGGAAACTTCATCAGAATTTTTCAATATTACATTGACCATGCCAAACATTAATAAGATTATGGTGTGATAAAAATATTTTTTTAATCATTGACAATCAAATAAATATATATTTTTTAGAGTAACCAATCAATCTATATATCAATGAAACTACCCATGGATGATGAATTATATATTGGTTAGTCATTTTATTGATAAAATATATATTTTATATATATATATATTTTGTTTTTAATGAAATTAGTTGATTTTCATCCAATATATGATCGTCAGAAAGTTCATTTTATTACAACTTATCTCTGTTCGAAACCATATACAGTAGATGAAAATTTTTGGTTTGTTTTATAATAATAATAATAATCAACAAAGAATCTAATCAATTTAAAATATCAATCTAGGTTTGACTATCAACCATGTTATGACATGGATTCATCAATGATCATCTATGAATGGTATTATAACATACCTGCTGTACAATGGCCTGAAGGTGTTTTTTTTTAATTTATTCATGAATCATTTTGCTTTATTTTTATAATTTGAAAAATTTTTAGTGGCTGGTTTTCGAGTAGGAACTAATACACCATATCAATATATTGTTATTCATATACAATATTTTCAATCTATCATAAATAATATATATGGTGAACAAATAACTATGACTCGTACAAGGTAATTAAAATATGTCTAATTAGAACTCATATATTTTTAGTTTTTCTATTTAGACCAAAATATCAAATAGGAATTTATCAAATAGCAACAAATTCATTTGATTTTCAAAGTAATTCTGAATAAATAAGAAATATTTATATCGTATAATTTCAGAAAAGCATGCTGATTTTTCTTGTCAATATCATTCATCATCAATACAAATATTTTCTACTCAATTATATTCAATATATGAAGGTATATTATATTATATTTCATATAAAATTATAATGAACTCATTTTAGGTCTTAGTATTTCATTATATCGTGTACGAAATCATGAATTACAATCGATAATTAAAGGTATATATATAGTTGATTAATTAAAATTTTATTATTTATTTATAATAAAATTTAATTAGGAAATCTTCATTGGCCTCAAACTTTTTATCAATTAAAAAATTCAATTGATATTAAAGCTAATGATTATTTAATTGGTACTTGTATATATGAGCAGAAATCTTCAAAATATCTTCGGTATGTATGAAATTTGAATTATAATAGACGATGTTCGAAAATTTCGATCAAGAAAAGAAATATATTAATTATTCAAGTAATTTCTATGATGTTTTCTTTCATCTAAATTTGTCTATAATAAATCTAGAAAATGATCCCTGTTTTCAAAATATCTATGAAAATATTATATAAAGTTTATTTTGAAATTTTATTGAAATAAAAATAAGGAGATAATGTCGTTGCAAGTTGAATAAGATTAAGATGGTTCCAGGGAGGGACAGTCTTGTGATAGGTCGTTTGTCACGGTAGCTTTCGTTCTCTCATCTGATTATCACTTCTAGCAACCCAAGAATGAAAGCATTTTCCACCCTTCCCACACCTCTAGAAAATATCGACAACTCTGTTAGAGATAAAAACATAATGTCAAATAGTGAAATAATGATAATTCACATTGTTACGCAAACTTCAAAAATCAAACATTTCTTATATTATGTTTAGATATAGGTAAGATAGCCCCTGATCCTGCATCTGACACCACTAGATATCTCTTTTTTTTTAAACAGGAATATGTAAAAAATACTAGTTACAATATGTTGAATGAATATGAAATAAAACTATGTAAATTTCAGAGAAATTGTTTGAATAATAAAAGACATAATGATGTTTCTTTTTCGAATAGACTTCGTTCTCTATAATCAATTATTGAAAATATATTTAGATACGATCGTTCTGATGTAATTTGTCAAATAACAATAATGTTTTGGATGGAACAAGAAGATGAAATACCAATAGAACAGTGTTGGAATAATGATTTTTCTCGAATTTTTAATCGGTATAATAGAAAATGAATTCAATTCAAATTAATTCAAATATTTTATTTTAGTTACCTTCCAGATAATGCAAATATTCCACCACAAACATTATTTGATATTAATCCAACATATCCAAAATTAACACCAAATCAATGGGTAATAATGAATAAAAATATATCCATAACAATATCAAAATCGATAAATAATAATACAAATATAGTATTTTTAACATATTCAAAAATTAATTTTCGTCAAGAAATTATTCGTCTTGTACGTAATTATTATTCATTACTTTTAATTTCAATATTAATATTAACAGCGATAATCGGTTCGATAATATTGATTATTATAATTATTAGAAATCCATCATGTCGACATAAAAAATATTTCTTAAGAAATAAAACTCAATCAAAAGCTATTGCAGTTGGAGGTGAAACAAGTTCATTGAGTGAATGGCTTACAAAACGACGATTTCAACAATATGATCAAGATAATTTTGATCATGTTGAAAGACAACCATTAACAGATATACGTCGATGGACTACATCAAGTGAAGAAAGTGACTTGTCCGATAATGAAGTTTTTAGTTCAACTAATTTTCAAAATATTATACTTAAAAATTGAATTATTTTTTTTAAAAACAATAAAATTAGAATAATATTAGTTATGAATTCATTATCTTTTTTTGTGCAGAGATTTAATAAAGAACAAGATTTTTGAAACAAAACAAAATATTTTTTTTCTTCTGTGTATCAATTATTTCAAGAATCATTATAATTTCTTTCCGTTTAAGAGTATTTTGATTAATTAAATACGATTTGACTGTTAACAATCACCAGTAATATTTTGTTCGATAATAACGAGTGACATATAATAAATGGGATAGAATGTTTTCCTTTTTCACAGGGCACTTTCCAACACATTAGAAACTTTGTTTTAGACTCATTTGATAAAGAATTTCCTGCTCTACAAAACTATTGTCTTTGATTTTTTCATCGAGGTAAAATTTTAAGGATGAACACCTATTCAATCGTCTAATGTCGACGGTCAAAATATTAAAAACTTTTCATAAAGGTTTCGCTGAAATTTTCAGATAAACTACAAAAGTTCTTGACCAAATTCTGTACCATTTGATACATGTTTCAGGATCTTAGAAGAAATATATGCGAGAACAATTTTTGAAGTAAAAAAATCAGAAAAACTCTTTTTTCGGCAAATTTACATCCTTGTTCTTTTTTTGTTCAGAACTGAATTCGACACCGGTCACCATATGAGAACAAATGTGTCATAGACTAAGTTTCACTTTGGAAAACATGGTTTTCTAGAATGAGTCTCAAATACGACTATGTGTTGGTTCAAAGTCTTTTTCTTCTGGACAATAGCAGCAGAAGCGTTGAAAAGGCCGTGAAAGCAGAGTGCACGATGTTCTCTATTCATTGATGCTAAGTACTTTTAGCATAGATCCCTGCAAAAAATCGAAAATTACAGCTAGACGATTGAGTATGTGTTTGTCTTTTAAAATTTGTGCCGATACAAAAATAACGACAGTAGTTGTGTAGAGACTGAAATGCTCTATCAAATGAGCTTGAAATGAAGTTTCTAATGTGTTTGAAAGTGTCATAAAATAAGGAGAACATTTTGCCCCGTTTATTATGAGCCATTCGTTAATTTCTCTATATTTATCTTGAATTGTATCCGAGTGTCATAACCGTGAACGTTTCTATATATTGCTTCTATACATCAGATGTTGTGATACATATATTAAAATTCATTTTAATTTTCTATCATTTATTTTGTGTTATGGCGTAGATTTAGTCCTAACTGATTTAGAATGTAACCATTTAATTGATAATCATGTAATATAATAAGCAACAAATTTTTGCAACTAAAGAATTTAAGGATATGTATTGTCAAAACAAAGTATTACTGGGAAGGTTAAATCAGAAAAAATGATTCATCTCAATTGTTTAAATAATATTTAAAACAAAAAAATGAAAAAAAAAACAAAGTCTGCAGATGACGCTGAAATAAATAAAAAAGTAAAGCATTGAAATATCACTGTAATTATTGGATGTGGTAAAAGTTTTGCGATATTCTTTGTTTTACATGTAACTCTGTTCAGGAACATGATAAAACGTTGATCCATTTCTTCAAAAAATGCACCATTCAATGTTCTATTCGGATCACATGATCCAATCTTTATAGCTATTTTAGAAATTTTATTAGGCCACTAAATCCTGAACACATGTGTCATCGTGTTATTTCCCACAAGAAAAAAATCGAAGAAGTACATTTTGTGATTGGCAACTAAGGTCATTTTTAATCAAATCAATGTTAGATAAAATAGAGTGTGCCAAACATTGTAAATATCAAAACATTCATCATTTCACCAATACTTCCTACGAGATTAGTAATGGCTTCTTCTCAACGTATTTTCATCATTTTCAGTTGAAGCCAAATTCTTATTATATTATTTTATTAAGCTTAATTCTTTTTTTTACTATTTCTTTCAACAGTTGAGGAAGCTTAATGTAGCAATTTGTCCATCGATCTCACCGTTTTCAGACGATATATTTAGGAGCAACATAGCATGAAATGCTTTATTTCAGGACGAAACATCTAAAGCAATTGATACGGATGTTATTTTTCACTTGTATTTGAGATAAGAATGAGTAATAATCTTCATGCTTTGGAGACCCCACTCAGTCTCTGATTGTTTTCAAATATTATAACCAAAATGAATGAACAAAATCCAACAGTTTTCAACTTTCTTTTGTTTTTTTTTCTGGTAGAAAATAACACGATGATACACTTGTTCAGTATTAGCAGTCTATTAAAATTTCGAAAATAATTATAAAGATTTGGTCATATGATCCAAATAGAGCATTCAATGACGCTTCTTTTGGAAAAAAGAATAGATCAACATTTTATCATGTTCTTGAGCAGAGTTACATGCAAAACAAAAAATATTACAAAAGTTTGTTTTTTATTATATTACATGATTATCCTTTAAATGTTCATTCTCTTAAACTATTATCGATTATTTGCTTTGTTTATTCTAAGAAATTGAAGAGAAACTCTCAACGAATCTCATCTAAATTTTAGAGAAGATAAAATTATCTTTTTCTCTATCAATATTATTTGAAATTGATGTTCATCAAAATGTTGAACGGCGACCTCTACCACTTTAAGTTGCCAGGTGATTCTATTTTGAATCAGATCAATGTATGATGTTTCACATTTATTTCTAAAAATCGATACATTTATTAATATATTACAATGACTTATCGAGATATTAGCCGTATGTACTTTCATTTCTTTTCAATGATATATAATACTTATTTCTTATTAAATTAAGATCTATGTGAGATGGCTCGAGTTCTTTCCTATCCACGTTTAATTTCAATGGAAAATTTTCGTCAACCAAATTTTCGTCTCGTTGCTGAATTAATGACTTGGCTTGTTAAACAGTATAATAACAATTGTTTTTCTTTCTTCTTTCTTTGTATATATTAATTTAGATATGATCCACAATCTGATGTTCCAAATGATATAGAAGGTGAACAAGATCGTGTTATGTTTATTCGTGCTGTTGCTCAAATAATTGTATGATCTATATGATTTGATATGTCTTTGAAATCTTTTTTTTCTATTCATATTTAAGGCTACTAAAGCACATATGAAATTAAATACAAAAAAACTTTATCAAGCTGATGGATATGCTGTTAAAGAAATTCTTAAAGTTATAACACCACTTTATAAAGCTTTACGTGATAGTGAAAATAAAAATTTCGATGATGAAGATGATGTTGATTATCAATATCGTTATGCAATAAATGATGATGTTAGTATTTCTTTTTTATTTTGTTTTTTAATTTATTATTTTTCTATGTAAATTTTTTAGATGACTACACTTAAAAATGCTCGTTTACTTTGTTCAACAATAACACAAAAAGGTGCTAATTTACATGAATTATTAGGAAAAGAAGTTGATGCACGAGTATATATGAAAATTGAATTTTTTTTTATAATATATTTATTAAGATTTTATTTAGGAAGCAAGACAAGATGTTATAAATCGAGCTATGGAATTATCTGAAGTTCAAGAAGGTATAAAAGAAGCTGAAAATGCAGCTAAAGTATGTTAAATAAAAGATTATTTAAAATCATATAGATTTTTCTTCTATTTTTTTTTTTTTTTCTTAAGCGTGAATTCTTAAAATGTGATAAATTAATAAATAATGTTCAAATTGATGAAGTAGCACTTGATGAAAAAATAGCTAAACGTATGGAAGAAATAAATCGTCATCAACGACGACTTGATATGTTAAGGAGTGTTAGGTATTTAAGAGAAAAAAATAAAAATATTTTCTTGTTAATTTATAATAAATATTTTTTTGTCCTTTAAATATAGACCATCATTTATGAATGATTTTGAAAAATGTGAAATTGAACTTAATGAATTATATGGAAATTATGTATTAAAATTTCGTATATTAACTTATTTAGAAAAAGAACTTGAAGGACATTTTCGAAATCAACGTGAAAAAGTTCTAGTAAATTAAAATACAAATTAATTAATTAATTTCTTTTTTTTTATTTTATTTATTTAAAAATAATTAGGAAGTATCTCGACAATATATGCAATCAATTAATTCACAAATAACAGAACAAGAACAACAAAGATTTAATAGAGAATTACAAGATCCTAATGATGAAATTGGTGTACATAGTGATGAAGAAGAAGATGAAGAATCTGATGAGGAGGAGTATGTGAAATTTTTGAGTCTTTTTAAATTAAAAAAAACAAAACAATGATACATTTTTTTATTTATTGTCGAATTTTGCGAAGAATGAGAAGAAAAAAGTTTTAGCTCGATCGGATGTACTAGGCCAAAGAAATCGGAGCGTTTCTGGACTATTTTTTTAACGAATATGTTGGTTTGAGAAAAACACGATGCACAATCTCCGTTACGTAAATTTGAGATTTTAATGTTTAAAGACAATTTTTGAATCAGAAAATGTACTCATTAGATACTTCTCAAAATCGATCTTGGACTACGTACATTCAAGTCTCATGAAATTTCCAGGATATACTGAGGTTCTAGTGGAGAGATTATGCTAAAATTTTCAATCCTATATCATGATGCTTGTTGGAGATATTCAACATAGAAGAGTCAAAAATAGCTCATTTGTTTTCTATGGGACCTCATTCTATAGATTTAATAATTTTTTTATGGAGTATGTCAGACTGTGGTATCTCTTGTTTTTTTGAAATTCTTACTTTTTATGCGGAAACACAGGACGAAAAATTCGATACATCAAAAAACTCTAAACAACTGGGTATCTATTTTTATAGATGTTTTTTTTATGTAATAATAAAAAAAAAACTTAATTCAAAAAACGGGCGCTACAGCCTTGCATGCTCTTTCAAATAAAAAGCCCAGAAATTGACTATAATGAAGCTTCTTCGAGGATTCTTGAATGAGCGATCAGAAATGCATATAGAGTGTCCCATAAGTTCTAGGTCTCAACGAAAATTAGTTTATACGTAAACAAAGAGTGATCCCTACCTAACTATATTTATATGAGCTTCGAGTACTTAGGACGATGTTTTAAATAGCATATTATCTCTTTTAATAATAGCAATATAAACAAAAGAAATGTGATAATGAGAATGTAGGTACAGAGGATAGCCACATCTACATCATAGATATTACATATCACTTTGTATAATTGTGTTACGTTATCTACAATGAATTCATAGTTCATTAGAACTTCTTAAAAAAATACTGATTGATTTCGAGATTTTAATAATCACGTTTCTTCTATTTATATTACTATTATTACAAGAGATAATGTCATCGGATAATATGCCATTTAAAACATCGTTCTAAAGTGCTTGAAGTTCATATAGATACAGTTAGGTAGGAAGTATTGTTTGTTTACATATAAACTAATTTTCATTGAGATTCAAAACTTATGAAACATCCTTCATATATGGCAGATGACTCGTGTGAAATATATTCAAGATAAATTTAAACTTCTAATAAAACTTACCTATCAAACTGTATTTGAATGGTTTTTGAAAATTCCATATTTGTCATACGATATTATTTCTACATAAATTTCTGCTAAGATCTTCATTGTAAATTCATAATTTATTTTCTTTATGATTTAGTGATGAAGAATCGGAAAATGATGATGAAGATATAAATCAATCACCACCACCTCGAGGAAATAAATTAGGTATCTAATTTATCATTTATTATATCATTTAATATAGTATTTCTTTAGAAAATGGTGCAGAAGGCCAGGCCTACGGTGGTATGACAGCTGATTTAAGCGATGATGAAGATCAAATGCAAATGGGTCGAGGAGTTGGTGGAGCTGGTATGGATGATGAAGATGATGATTTAGGTATGGAAATGGATCCTAGACGAAGAAATAGTAGTGTTCGTCAAAGAGGAGCTATGAGTGGACAACCAAGTGCAAATGATGGACAACGACGACAAAGACAACAGCCACAACAGCTAGCACCATATGCTGAAGATGATGATTTTTAATATTATTTATTTTTTTTATTTTTTTTAATAATTGATCTTAATCTTGCACACATTACCTTGTCTTTTTTGTTTTTTTACAATTTTTATGACAGAGAAATAAAAATAAAAATAAAAATCTCAATTCTGAATTCATAGTTACGACTTATAAACTTAAATATAATAATACATTATCGTCATTAACAACAAAAACATTCTTTTCTATTGACTAATAATAAAGATTATAAGAATCATATATTGAAACGAATTTGAATTTATTTCAAATGTAATGTATACACTATAGAGGAGTAACCATCACTTCATGTTTCAAAATGTCGATAGAGAAACTTTTTTATTTTTGTTATTGTGTTCTTGATTTATTTGACTTTTCTTTCTCTCTTTCTTTCTTTAAATTGTGTATATAATGGCTGGTCGATTAATATCGGAAGATTCTGATGAAGAATTTCAAGAAATACAATTGAGTAAACTTCAAAATAATTATCGACATGCACGAGAAGATCAACGTGAATATACAATTGAAAAAAAAGATCAATTACGAATGCAAAGGTAAAATTATTAAAAAAAAACTTTATTTTGTTAAAAAAATTTTTTTTTTTGTAGTAAAACTCTTCAACAATTAGCAAAAGAACGTGAAGAATTAGATAAAGTATATCGTTTGGCTGAAAGTCTTGAAAATCAAAAACGTGATGAAGAAAAAACGAAAAAATTACGAGAATTTATACAAACAAAAGGTATTCTATTTTGTTTATTTTAAAAAATTCAATTATAAATCAAATAAATTTTAAGATGAACTTCAAAATGATATACAAAATGAACAAGTAGTATCAACTGAACTTGATGCTAAATTACGTGAATGGGAAAAAAAAATTCGTCAAAAACAAACAGAAATTGGTGGTGCTAATGCTGCAGTTACATTTAATGCAAATGTTCGTAAACAAGAACGTGTTTTTGAAAATCGTTTAGATACGGTATAAGAATTTTGAATATAACTTAAAAGATATTTTTTTCTTTTTTTGAATATAAAGGCTTTAAAACGATTTAATTCTTTACTTACTACAAATAGTTTATTACGTGCTGAAATTGATAATTTACGAAATGAACGAGAACGTTATGAAAATTTATCAGAAAAATCTGAAAATGAACTTCGAGATTTACGTACACAATTAGTAGAATGTATTGAACATTCAGTTACTTCATATGAACAACGGTATGATTCTATCAAAAAGTTCAATTTTATAAAAATGATTATTTCTTTTTTTAAAAGACAAAAAGGTTAACAATGTTATTAATATTGGTACATTAGATTAAATTGAATTCTTAGTTTTCTATAAAGAAAAAAAAAAAGAAGAGAAGTCAAGTAGTAGTCTAAGAAATTATGATTGATTTAGTCGATTTTTTGCTACACGAAAAAAAACAACAACAAAATTATGCTTTTAAATAGATTTCAATAAAGTTTGCAATATGTAGAAAAAAATTTATCTAACGAACAAAACTTTGTGTATTTTGATCGATAGATTACACTGACTAATATGCAAAGAAATGATTACAAAGAAGTTTTCTTTTATTAACTAATATTTCGTTTTTTTTTTTTTTTTTTGTTCAAATATAATAAATTCTTTTGTAAAAAACAAATTTTTTTTTAGTAAAGATGCAAATGCAAAAGCAATTATTCTTCAAAGTAAATCATAGATTAATTTTAATTTAATTTTCTATATCCTTTTTTCTTTTTTGTTAACTATCTATATATAGGTAAAGCTGAAACAGACAAATCATCAGCTGAAGCTGAAATGAGAGAACTTGAACGACAAATTTCTCATGATCGTAAATTACGTGATTTTATGAAACTTAAATCTCAAGAACGACAAGAAGATGAAGAACTTGTTACATATCGAAAACGCAAAGGTCTTGTATTTTGTTTTTTGAATGAAAAAATCAAATTTCTTGTTTTGTATCGATTTTTAGAAGCTGAAGCAAATGAAAAACGTCGTAAAGAAAAAGAAGAACATTCAGTAGATGCATATGAAAGTAAATTTAAACAAATTCAAGAAATAAGTGGTGAAAAAGATTTAGATAAACTTGTTGAAAAATTTATTGAAGGTTTGATTTTTATTTTTATTTTTTTTTGCTATTTAAATTATTTACAAAATCAAATAAACAACAATGTTCTTCTTTATAGTTGAAGACAAAAATTTTGCTTTATTTAATTATGTTAATGAATTAAATAATCAAATTGAAATATTACAAGAACAAATAACTGATATTAAAAAAGAAATTCGTCATTTTGAAGTACAAGGTGTTGAGTTAGAAGATCAACGAAAACAAATGCTTGATAAAATGGAAGATAAACGTTCACAAGCAACAAAATTAACTGATGAATATGAAGAAAAAATTCGTAATGCAAAAAAAATTCTTGATCAATGTCGAGCAGGTATATTCTTTCTTCTAAAAATGCAATTATGATGTTAATCACTAGTGCCATCGTAGATTGATACACTGATCTAGACATGCACATAAAGAATTATGGTGTGATCTTAGATTTATTTCAGATCACTTTCAAGTTTCGACTTCAACCTTGGCAAGAACTAAGTTCTTAATGAGATTAGTTTATTGATCAAGTTTTAATTCTTCTATAGTCCAAACAATCAAAAGTAGGAGTTGGAATTTTACTTTTTTTCAATTTCATCATGCTGTGTTGTCTTGTTTTTATATACTATGGACTGACGTGGATCGGTCAAATATTTACTATTATAATCCTATAGTAGTCCTCTACCTATGCTGTATATCTTGGAATTTTGTCTTGGTGTATATGTGTATATATAATATCAACTGTAGTGATTCTTATCATTTGATTTTTATTTGCACATTGCATTTTGTATCACATATCTTGTTTATCGTACGTATAAATGACACTGTGTACTAATATATTGCGGGATGACTTTTTATATTACACTTTCTTTATTGTATTACGACATATAGAATTGACCTGTTCATATAGAGAGATCATAGCCACCATACCTTCAGATGAGCTTTATGTGTCATGGTACAATAAAGGAAGTGTAATATAAAAAGTTATCCCGCAATATATTAGTACGCAGTGTCATTTATACGTACGATAAACAAGATATGTGATACAAAATGCAATGTGCAAATAAAAATCAAATGATAAGAATCACTACAGTTGATATTATATATACACATATACACCAAGACAAAATTCCAAGATATACAGCATAGGTAGAGGACTACTATAGGATTATAATAGTAAATATTTGACTGATCCACATCAGTCCATAGTATATAAAAACAAGACAACACAGCATGATGAAATTGAAAAAAAGGAAAATTCCAACTCCTGCTTTTGATTGCTTGGACTATAGTATTTTCTATCCTGAGATATTCAATATTCGAAATCGAAGCTTGAAAGTAACCTGAAGAGGACGACAGCTTTTTATTAAAAAGTCCAGTAAAATTTCGATATCTAGAGAGTAAATTTTTCTATTACTCACTAGTACTCATCAAATGAACATTATCTCACGAGGGAACCTTCCGAGGTGCTAAAAAGCTTTTGAGCCCAAATTTTGTCTACAAGTAGGGGATATATAGACTAGAAAAAGCCTAAGATGATATCGGCCCAAGTTACAATTTGGCTGAGATATTAGCTTTTTACTAGACTTTTCCTATAGGAACCCATTTTCCCGATAAGATGAAAGTTTCGAGTTTTGAAGTGAAATTTTGCTCATATCAAGGTCTCAACTAGAGTGGCTTATCTACAAAGTTTCAAAGATTTTAGACTAAGCATTACCGAGATATAATATTTTCAAAATATCTATGCGTAAAAGGATATCCGTAAAAAGCGTGTTCATGATAACAGGCTCATATCTCGGTAATGCTTAGTTTAAAATCTTTGAAACTTTGTAGATAAGCCACTCTAGTTGAGACCTTGATATGAGCAAAATTTCACTTCAAAACTCGAAACTTTCATCTTATCGGGAAAATGGGTTCCTGTAGGAAAATTCTAGTAAAAAGCTGATATCTCAGCCAAATTGCAACTTGGGCCGATGTCATCTTAGACTTTTTCTAATCTATATAGCCCTTACTTATGGACAAAATTTGGGCTCAAAAGCTTTTTAGCACTTCGGAAGGTTCCCTCGTCAGTCGAAAAGCAATTTGACATCTGGTGAGGTTACCTCACAAGCCTTTCTGCAATGAGGAAATCGAACTCAAGAATTTCGACAAATCTCCTATGAATTCGGATTTCTGAATCCAGAAAATCTTTAGTTTATTTTTATAAAAAATGATCTCCACGATCGCCATCAGTATGCTTAAAAACGAGGCTATACGACTTCCGATGGACTTCAAAATATGTATTGTGACCATAATCATTCCCCCTTTCCCAAAATCCTGGATCCGATGCACCGTCACCATTGCATCTCTATTTTCTTATATTCAATTTCCTAAACTTAAATTTTTGGTTACTCTTTAGGTATCGATTCATTATTTAAAAAGATTGGTTGTGATCGTCGACAAATTGATAATTTATTACAAAGTCATGAAGGTGTTACTGAAGATAATATGTTACGATATTTAGGTATTATTGAAGAAAGAACAAATGAATTACTTATGGCACAAGCAACTATTAATGCAAAAGTAAAATATGAATTTTTTATGTCGAAGAATAATTTTAAATTTATTGAAAATTTTAGGAACAAAATATTGCATTACGTGAACGTGCACCAAATCTTATTGGTGAAGGTCCATCTGGACCAGCACCACATGTTCAAGTTCATCTTCCAAATGCGTAAATATATTTAGCAATTGTTTGATCTGTTTTTTTTCCTTTTGTTTTCAATTTTGTTATTATATTAAATAGAGAAGATCGTCGTGATCAAGAAGATAAAGAAGAAAAAGCCGAAGAAGAACTTAAACCATTAACACGTGAAGAATTAAAACAACGTGCAATTGATCATGTTAGAAATTTAGAAAAACGAGCTTTATTAGAACAAAGTAAATATCAGGATATGACACCAACAACATCACGTGAAAAAAGTACACCTGCTGCATCAAGAAGTGCTGGTGGAGAAACAGGAAAAACACCAACTGCCCGTGGACGTTAACTACTAATGCACATTCAATCGGAAAATAGAAAAAGAAAAACAATAAACTTTTTTTCTTCTCTATGTTTGTTACTTAAAAATATAATAATTTTATACTGATCAGGAAAATCATTAATCAATTTAATACGTAACTAAATACTTTCACTTCAAAAAAAGAAAAAATTCAGAAAAAACTCTATTATTTATTAATATTACAATTGGTTGATGAGTAAAAAAAAAATATTTCTATAATTATATAAATCAATTAGTACATTCCAATTTATATATTACGTATCAAATGTATATAATCATATTTTCGATACAAAAATAAATCAATCATTTTATTATAATACGAATATAATGATAAATAATAAAATCATTTTTTTTGAATAAAAAGGTCTGATCGTGATTTTGAATATATATATATACATAAAGCGTCATCAAACAGCGAAATGTTTCTATGATCAATAAAAAAGAAAAGATAAGACAAGACATAATGCGAATCTTTACTGTTTTTATCAATGTTCTATTTCTTGTTAACTATATTTCTTCGGATAATATTTTATTGACAAGAAAACTTATTACTAATCTATCATCTAATTCAGAAGAATGTACTAATACAAGTCAATGTTTATCGTCGAACGAATGTACTACATGTGAAAATAATCGTGGACCAGATTGTGATCAAGTAACTTGTATCAATGGTAAATGTAATATAATTAAACAATGTTCTCAAGAAATTTTATCTACTACTACAACAAAAACATCTTCCATTAGCAATCAATGCAAAGGAACGGATGCAAGTGTTTGCATTTTCGATAAATTGTGTACATTTTGTTTACGAGGTTATAGTCCAACTTGTGCGGAAGCTATATGTGTTAATGATCAATGTAAAATAATCTCACCGTGTTCAATATATACATCTATGACACAACCTTCTAGACTTTCTAATGAATGTAAAAATGATGATGAATGTCCTTACTCTAAAATCTGTGCTGATGAATGTGAAAATGGTACACGTCCTTTATGTGCTACAAGAAAATGTGTTAATAATGTATGTCAAATTATTTTACCATGTTCGCAACAGATCTGTACAACACGAGCTACATGTCCATATAATGAACGAAATTGTTCGATTTGTCCAAAAGGTTATGAACCGATATGTGAACAAAGTGTTTGTTCATATGGAGTTTGTTCAATAGTACCACCATGTTCCAAGATAAATTAAAAATATAATACCTACAAAGAACACAAGAAATTAATAGTATTAACATAAGTCTCTGACGAAAAATATTTTAATTCATATATATTCTTTGACTTATAAATAGGGTCAAAAAGTATGATGTGTTTGTTTTAAATACTTAATACTAAAAACAATCATTATTTATTGACATATATATATAAATGAATGATAGCACATGTTTCTTTAACATGAATCGAATAACATAATAAATAAAACATTTTCTAGAAAGTAAAATATTTCGATATAACTTTACAAATCAGTCATACTTTATTAACCTTTTGAATAAGAGCGATACGAATCCGCAATCTGAAATTTTACCGTTTGATACAATGTGTATTCTGCCAGCAGTCGTGCGAATATTTGTCGCATTTTTTTGAAACATTAATATTTTTCATATTAAACTATTCATTCTTGATCAAAATTTGTTCGTCTTGCATTGAAATATAGAACATGTGACTCTGTTCATATGAAGCGAAATGCAAATGACCGTTACTTTTGAATCCTTAGTTCGAATCAATTCGGATACAATTTTATACCTTTTAATATGGATCAATTTGAAAAGAAAATATTAGAGAAATAGCTAAGATTTTTGCCGAATCGAATGAGAAATATTATTTTGAATAATGTCTTTCTTGATATTAAAAAAAAATGATTTATTTCGCTTTTCGAAAATTTTCATTTGTTTTTTTTTTTAAATAATTTCATACTTAAAGAATTAATTTTTTTCATTGTAAAAATTGAATTTATTATTTAGAAAACAATAATAAATCATGTCCTACAATATCGTGCATTACAAATAGGAACAGGTAATAAAAAGTAAACATAGAAACTACCAATGCAATAGATAACACTTGAATTATAAGTAACTATACATTCACCGATATCACTACTCAAACAAATAAATCCATTAACTATAGTATCAAATGTTATTGGTAATGTACCATTGAACCATCCTGAAGAATAAGCACCACAATGATTTCTACCAGGTGATGAAAATGGTATTATAGTACCACCATTACCAACAAATCGTATCCAAGCACCTTCACCACTACTCGAATTAAATAGTGGTCCATTATCACACGAACCAGATGATAAGATTTGAGCAATATTTCGTGTTGGATCATTAATAGTTGTATACGATGAACAAGGTGCTCCACTTTGATTTCCTATACTCACACTACTGACCATCATTGTTGTAAATATTGTTGAGACTAAAACAAGAAAAATTCTTTCTCTTCAATATCTTTAATTCTTATATGGAAAGAAAATATACATGAACTTTGATTAGTATTTTCTATTGATGTCACTGTTGTATTTTGTGTTGACTTAATAATACTAAATGTAATAACAATAGCCGTAATAATGAGAATTAGGATAATAATAATAAATATAATAACTCTTGTTCGTACACTACATTTCGAATTATTACAGATAGATGATAATCTAAAATAGGATTTCATAGTTGAATCAATCAGATATAATTTATCTTACTTAGCAGTTAAAATATTTGTTGATAATCTGGAATCATGATCGTTGACAGTTAATTTTTCTGATCGAATTATTTCCGAATGATTATTTTTTGTATATTCAAATGGTTGTTCCGTTATATTTGGTGTTTGACAATTGAAACGAACCTTTTTCTTATTAGATTTACTTATTTGATTATTTATTTTTTCTATTGAATCTTGTTGAAAATATTGTCTATCAGGTAAAAAATTTAGTTCATCGGATGATTGTTTTTTCCATTCAGTTATGATTGAATTCATTGTATTTGTATGTTTGATGGACAATTCTGTTGTATTTTTTTTTTGTAATGCATAAATTTAAACTTATGTAAAGGACATAAAAGAAAATTCAATTATGCATATTATTAATTAAGATTTCATGAAGTAAGTGTATTTACGATATATAGATGACTGTCATGTGAGAATGTATTGATTTTTTTAAGTTTTCTTTTAGTAATAAAACAAAAAATAATATTATTAAAATTAAACTAGAAAAAATATTATATATCATGCTACATAAACAATATTTTAGAGTGAAATACTCTTTATAAAATAAAAATAGAAAAAAAACAACTTATTTTTTAGTTATAATTTATTCACAAGATGTTTTCAATGATAGAATTTCTACTTGATAGAATATATATTCAAATTAGCTAAATTATCGATGATTTCAAAGCAATAAAAATCTTGTAAATTTAACTTATTCAAAGTCCATGTTTTTTTTTCAAATGCTATGAGAAGACATTGAATGATGACTGACATTAAAAAGTAAAGGTGTATATACAGTGGCTCCTAAAATTATTCAACCAAGTTTATTTCCAATTTTATATCCAACAAGAATGTTTGAAGATGAACTCAGAATAGAGTCTCTAAAAAAAATTGAAACTCAAGTTTTTCATCTCCTGAAATTCTATTTGAATTATCCAGAGTGATAGAGCAAAAAATTCTCTACAAAATAAAACATTTTTCAGCTCTCTACAACGTTTTTTTTTTAGCTGAAATACATTAATCTTACGGAAAGTACAAAAATGATGTTTCTGTGCACAAAATAGCAGAAAAAACGACTTTTGTACCTTCTGTAAAATTGACATATCTCTGCCAAAAGAAATCTTGTAGAGAACTGGAACACGTTTTATTGCGTAGAAAATTGTTTGTTCTATCATTTTAGACAATTCAAATAGAATTCCAGAATACGAAACGCCTTGGTTTCAGTTTTCATAGAGTCTATCTTTAGTTCATCTTCGAAAATTCTTGTTAGAAATAAAATTCTCTGTACAAATCACTATTTGGATTCTTATTTGCATTTACAGCAGTGGAAAAATATTGAAAATAAACCTAATTGAATAATTTTGCGAGCTGCTGCTATAGATATGTATTTATAACATATAAGAAAAGAAAAGAAAAAACAAAAAAATTGTTAGTTATTTTAAAGGATTATGATCGTAGTCAAATATTCTTTGACATAATCAATATTTTTTATAATGATTAATGTTTGAATATCGTTTTATTTATTCTGATTAAATAAATCATTTAATTGATGATGATGATCATCATCATCATCAAAGAATAAGAATTTCAATTAATATAAAATTTTAATTCATTAATTTGTCTTTTATCTTAATAAATTATTAACTGTACAACGATCATTTTTCAAAAAATGATTCCAAACGAGAAATCGGTCTACTAAATGTGTCAAAAAAAAAAAAGAAAAGTTAATCTTGTTGGAAAACGGATGTTCATAAATCATTTTAATACTATTCCCATTGTCATTTGTCTTAAGTCTATTGTCGTTTGTTTCATTGTTTCTAATCATAACTTATGTTATTATACACACCGTATAGATATATATATATATATATATGTAAAAGTCTAGTCACTTCATCAATTATCATTCCTTCTTGTTTGCTGCCATCATATATATTTATATTCCCTTGATGAAGATTCTTCACACTAACGCGTTCAACGAAACGAGAATAAATTGGTTTAAAGCTTGCTCTTTCTCATCCTCCCATCTGTTCTTATATGCGTGTGTCTAACGTCTGCTCATTAACTATTCATATTGGAATTGAGATGGTGATGGTCGCATTTTTTCTTGTTTGAGTCTCTATTCTATCTCAAGAGAGTTTGTCGCTCTTTTTTTTCTCTCTCGCTCTCATCCAACTTAATCTATTTATATGAGTCTTCAAAAGACAAAAAACAAAAAAAATAACAATAAAATAAAATGAAATTCCAAGGTACTCGACAGTTGCGTGTTTAGACATACGAACATGAGAGATCAATTAATTTACGTTCCATCATATTCTCTCTTGATGATGATCGACAGTATTGATGTCGACATGCAATTTTCTTTTGTATCTATGATAGTAGTAAAGATGAATTATTTGACCGCAAAAGAAATCTTTCGTTTTTACAATATGATATCTATGAAATAAAAGAAAAAAAAAACAACAAAAATTTTTTTCTTCCCCTTTGTTTTCTACTGATAATGTTTCCCGTGTAACGCCTCTTTTTCTTCTTCTTGATGAACAGTTGTTGCACAGATTAGGTTACTTGATACATACGCGTGTGTATTGAACATACGGTTTGGGATATCAACATAGACGTTTGTCATCATGTCAATTGTGTTAAACATGACCTTTTTATCAGTTTAAAAAAAACCAAGATTGGAAATAAAATCTTATCGGAAATATTCTGATTTGTTCGATTTCTTACAAACGTGTTCAAGCAGAAATCTATTTCTTCTTCTTCTTCTCCCTTTTTTTCCCTATGATGTCCTCTGGGCTCTCTCGCACATTGTATACACCAATAGAAACCCTATCTATATGTGCACACGCGCGAGCGAACGAACGATGGTGGCGTGTCTATCGTGCGGCTAATTGAAAAATTAATGAAGCAAATATTTTCAAGCAACTACCTCGTCCTATTCGCCTTGCTGAACCAACGAGATAGATGAGACATCAACATCAACAACAACAAGCAACACCATCTTCAATCATCGCTCAACTGTATTCAGAGAAGTCCCGTATGGCAAAGAAAAAAAAAAGAAAATAACAATCATCTACCAATAAGTATCTGAAATCGTTTGATGTCTATATGAATGATAAAGTTAACCTGCTGTGTTTTTAATTAAATATATGTATATATATATATATATGAGTAAAGATGTATATTTAAATAGACATGAGAAAATTTGATCTGATATTTCCGTTAATTTATATTATTGATTTTTCTCTATTTTATAAGTATACAATGATATTTTTGTCTACCGGAATAGGTAAACCACAAGACAAATGATGAGAGATAATGAATTTTTCTTTTTTTTTGCTTGTTGCCATTTGTAAGCCGATTATACTTAGTCGGCATGTACTTGACAAGTTACACACCCAAGAAAAGAACAACTGTTGCTAAGCTGAAGAAGTTTTCCTCTTCTTATTTCTTTTTTTTTTTTTTGTTTTTTGTTGTTGTACTATGAGCAAATAATAGCCTGTAGGCAAGTCAATGACGTAAGAAGAGTTCTATGTATGTGTTGGCATCAAAAATCTAACAATCGTATTTATAACTTTGATCTACCGTCTTGATTGAGATAATAAATCGGAAAACAAAATAATTCTATTTAAATAATATAAAAAAAAGGAAAGAAAATTTGAAATATATGATATTGAATTTTAATTCGACCTTTAAAAACAAAATTTGTTTGATAATCATTTTCAAATAGGTGATATCGATCTCTGTTTCTTTTCTTTTTGTGCCCTTTTAAATAAATGGCAAAACAATTTAGTACAAAAACTCATTTATCATCGTTGTGTCTATCTCTTTTTCTCTATATTCAATTCAACCTATGCTCATATATCTATATGTATATATATATACATGCGCTTTACTCATTTTCTGCTTGAATAACGTTAAATGTATTTTTATTTTTGAAATTTTGTGTTTTTGTTCGTCTTCAAATTCTTATTTCGTTTTCATTTTCATCGCTATTTTTTTTCTTCTTTTTTATCTGATTAAATCCATCGGACTAGTATGTATCTTAGTCAATATTTATCCATTGGGTCTAACGTGTTATTTTTTTGTGTCAATATCGTGCGACGCGTCTATAGTGGTGACCACCAGTTTGTTTGTCATAAATCCTCTAATCTCAGAAGCAACCGTAGTGATCAAGTGTACAACATACAGAACAAACACAGTCGATATCCATCCATCCCCCCTCATATTCTCGATCAAAAAACATCTCACACTCTTTTCGTACGATATTTCATTCCTCTTCAAATAAGTGATTTGACCAACAATACACAAATACATACACACACACATATATATTCTTTATACGAATCAAATTTCTTTCGATTTTCTTTTTACATCCATCTGTTCAAGATGAATTTTTATTTTCATACATGCACACACATATAGCAGATGCCATCTTGCATCATTTTTGCATATATATATATATATATATAGATATATATAAATATAAGAAAACGAAAATGAAATTAGCAAGTGTTTAGCGACATAAGCATTTACATTGCCGAAGGCTCTCTTTTGAAGATGATAAGTGTCGAATAATGATTATAATGATGATGATGATGGTTCTCACTCAAACATAATAAACAAACTGTAAAACTGTTGATAATCGTCGTCGTCATCGTCTCTTCTATAGATAAATGAACAAACGCGTTGTCATCATTTTCTTTCGACACGTTTGTTGTTTTGTACGACACACACCCTTTCATCAAAGAAACAATCAAAATGTGTTTGCCTGCTAGAGCAATCAAAATTATTCTCTCACTTGATGCAACTACATCAAACCGACTTCACATATATATATATATATATATACATATACATGTGCTTCTCTTTGTTCTTAATGTAAATGTCCGGAACATATGTGTATATTGGAGTTCCCATTTTTCATTTGAAGGAAGAAGACATTTTTGACTTGACTTTTCTTGTCAATGAGGTGTCATTATTTTTTTCTTTTTTTTTTTTGTTATCAACTAGTACCTGTCACACGCATACCAATGGCAAGTAATAATTAAACACTCGAACTGAGATTAAAGATCTATCAAGTAAAGAAAAAGACTGATGAGTATATACCACACCCATTTCCGTTTCTTTCTTTTTTCCTTAAGAATATGTATCAATGTTTATTTATGTCTATGATTTCTGGCATTCTGTTAATTAAAGAAAAACTTGTTTTTTTTTTTCAATAATAAACAATTTTTATTGCAAACCAGATTCATCATTGTTCGTCTTTTCTCTTC